AGTTTCAGATGAATGATTTCAGTCCTTGTTGCTCATTATTAACCGACCAACTGAGTTTAAAAAGTGATGGTTTGCTGCAGGTTTCTGACCGAATGCTATAAATATGTCAAATATAAGCTCAATCTGAAGACCAGTTGATGAAATGTCTCCAAATATCTCAAATGTAGTTGAAAATCAACTTGAAAATGACTATCAATCACAACTACCCACTACCAACCACACATTTTCAACACATTTTCAACACATTTTCAACATGTTTTCAACATTTTTTGGGAGCTGTTGTTGTTATGTGGCTCATATGACTCACAATCTATGATTTCAAGTAGAAATGGGAAATATTTTCTGAGTTTTTGCCTTCTATATATTCCCCGTCTGCCAGTGAAAACATCCTAACAGCATTCAGATGTTTACAACCCTGGAGCGTCAAACTGAAGGCGCAGGCACCAAATCTTGCCCATCATACGTTCGTATGCGGCCCTCTGGACTCTTGAAGAACAAATAAACAGAACTTTTAAGATATTTGTTTGCATTTATTCATTAATTTATTTATTTTATATATTTATTCATACATTTATTTTGTCAATCAAATTCAAATTCAAAAGTATTTAAATAATGCCAAGAGGAAATCGAATGCTAAATTAAATGAGTTTTTATCTTTAAACTGCCAAATTACATGAACTTGAAAATATGTTCAATATTATTTAATACCAAGAAATACTTATTTACTTATTAGTTTTATCAATATATTCTGTCACAACCGGCACATTGAGGACATTTGTGATCTCGATTAAAATGATTTTAACTCCCCTGCACCACATTTAGTATTTAAATGTTATTCCTTATCAAACACAATAAGAAGCTCCCTATCTTTGCCGTTTATAGTCGTCTGATATCTCAGTTTTCTGTGATGCCTAATCATATTAATTTAGTGCTTGCCATATTCAGTTTAAATTCCTGTAGTCATTATCGTTCAAAAAGTGTTGCCACATAGAATCAACCATTTAGCTCATTCTTGTAAAGTTGGAAAACTTTAAACTCAAACATGACAGAAGGCGCTCATAAATAATAAGTAAAGGATTTTTTAAAAGTTATGATCAATTTTATGATTTCTGGGTGTTTTATTAGGGCCATCAAACATAAATATTCATAATATTTTTAAAACTGCCATAAAAAACCTTTTTTTCCCTGTAAAGTAACAACAAAACTTGTCCTTTTTTATTTTTTTCTTTACTGAAACTTAAAAAAAATACTAGTTTTGTAACACAGTCCATTGAAACACCTGCTAAGTTGAGACTGCAGCTCCAGCTGTGAGGGAAACCATACGGAGGATCCGAACCGTGTGAATAACATGAACATTTTGTATGTTTCAGGCTTGAAGCAGATGAAAAAAAGATTAATTTACTGTTTGATTCTTCTTGCAGCTTATTAATAATTCTTGTCATTAGATGATCAATTTGTTTATAGAAGTAATTAGAACCTCATGTTGGTGCAACACATTGACTTTCGGATCAATTTAAGGCGGCTTGATTAATATTGAGGCAGCGCGCCTCTTGCTGTTTGGTATCATCATGATGTCTGTCTGTGGAAAATAAAACTGTTTTTTTAAAAAACTGGTTATAAATCAATGTTATAAAAAACTACAACTTCCTGTTGGATCTACAAAAACTTTGTGTTTTATATTAACTGCTGTTGACTGGCTGTCAAAGAGCTCTGAGATTTATTACAAACTTAAAGCTTTTTGTATTTTTACTGTGTTGCTATTTGCATTTTGTTATAACAGAATAAACTTTGGCTTATTTGCAAGAATGGACTGATATCAGAGGTTTCAGAGGAGGTGTTTTTCTTCTCCTTTCCACCGAAACTCCTTTGAACCGGGTTTGATTTAGAGACGGCGGTACCAACTGACTAGAAATGAAAAAACTGAAACTCCCTTCAGGAGAGAGCTGGGAGGGAAGCATAGCGTTCATGACTGAAATGATTTGAAAGAACAATTCTATGTTTTAAGTTTCACCTTTTCTCCTCTCAGTTGCTAAAGTCTGAGAATAAATTATTCTATTACTCTGATTTTATAAATAAAATATATAAAGACAAATGCATATTTATCTGATTGACTCAGTGTTTCACTATAATTACCCAAAGAATATTTCTTAATTTCTTAGATTATAAAGCTTCTCTTGGACTTTTTTTTATTTCAGACATCCTCCACTTCTCAAAAAGAAATGTGCAGGATCTGGACGACTTTAGTTATAACTACTAGAGCAGATTACATGTAATCTTTCTTAATCTCTTGTGTGCATTGTGCTCAGAAGAAATGCCGGTGCTAATTTAAAAATAATTTGTATCAGAGAACAACAACAACATGAGGATGTTTGATTTGCCAGGACAGCTTTGAGAGATCCCAGTCCAACCTGAACTGAACCACAGTGAACCAGTTCATCTAAGAATGGGATTAAACCCAACCTAACCTGGTTCCAGTTCAAAGGTTGGAACCGGTTTATCGATTTCATGTTGCAGGATTATTTCCACAGGAGTTTGCAGGGCAGCCATTTTAAATTTTGACGGATTAGTTTGATGAGAAATGTTAAACTTTGTGACACGGATTTTTGTGAATTTTTCCAACTTAAAATGTTGAAACGTTTATTTGATGGTGATGTTTTGTAGCCCTCGACTTGAACAGCATAATTTTGTCTATCAAAATGTTTTGCTATAATTTGCTTTATTGGTCTTCTGGACAAAAACTAAAATAAGAAAAATGAAGAGGAGAGAAGTTTTGGCATCTTTTCTGGACAAGAACTGTTTAGTCTTTGTCATTTTACTGTTAGAGATTAATTTATTCTTAATTTAATTTCTCTCTCTGGCTTTTTATTTCACTCTGCAACAAATGCTGAAGCTTATTTTAATAACTCTGTTGTACCAATGGTGCAAACTATGTTTATCTTATTGTGCGTCTCATTAAAAACAGCAATAAAAATAATTGACGACACTGACGGATTTGTGTTTTGTTTTTTTCCATCTCCAGACAAATATGTTGGAACAAAGAAAAATTAAAAATAAACTCACTTTTTGGTTTTAAAGAAAGTAAGAATTAATTAGATCAAACTACACAAAAACTTTCAACTAAGCATATCGAATATATTAATGTCACGCATTAAATGTCTATTTTATTTTTTTGTCTTGAATAAAATTATTCATGTTATGATTCATATCTGATTCAAGCAGAAGTTTGTTTCTCATGGCAAACACACTAAATGTAGATTCTGTGTCATGTTCAGGATCGTCTCTCAGTGATTAATAGAAAACATTTTATTTATCACAGCTTTTTAAAAGTTTCTTTTAGTATTTCTATTCAACATTTTTGGCCTCCTCTCTCACCTGCCTTCACTTCCTGAAACAAAGCCTTAAAATAGTTCTGTGTTCTTCCTCCCAGCAGTTCTTAGATGTTATCCTTGCTAAGCTGCATTCAGAGGTTTCTGGTTTATTGTCAAACCTGTTCTCCTTCATATCAGCAACTACACAATCATGCACACACATAAAAACATGCAGAGGATGATTGCACCACACTTCCTGCTTGGAAACGCGGCGTCAGTTTACAGTCAGAAGGGTGTGGGTGAACTGAAACTGACTGGGTTCAGATTTTACATGCATGTTTTGAATTCAGTCTGGATGTTTAACATTTATAAGTCTAACTGACTCAGAGCGTGTATGTCATGCATGTATTTCATCAAAAAACAAAGTTTCTTCAAAATTGGTGTTTCCATTAAGCAAATTTTGAAAATGTCAAATTGTACAAATTTACGATCAATAGAAATACAGCTATAGATGGGATGAAAGGAAATACTGAGAAATTAAACCATATGTGCCTATTATAACTGTTTAAACACAAAATATACCATAAAATGCATTAATATATGCAGTGTAAACAGTTTTACTCTTCCTCATTTCTTCTCTTTGGGGTTCAATCAATCAGGGACAAGGAAAATGAAAATGCTCCTCTATTGGTTGCTTTGCTAAAAAAGAATCATTTCAGGTTCTCGGTCTATGAATAGACGATCTTAGTGTGAATAATTAGGAGTCAGGTTCCATAGAAAACATCCTGAAACATGCACAGGCTCTGCGTTGACTCTAGTTTGCTCCTCTTTAGGCCCAAAGATAATTACTTTAGTTTTGCTTCTGTGCAGCTGGAGAAGGTTTTGCACATCCACCTGGATTACTCTAAACATCTGCTCATCAGATATGCCAATATGGACCAAAGTCTCTGAAACATCATTCTGACACCTTCTTGATTTGTAAAGCAGATCTGAAGGTGTACCTAATAAACTGGCCGGACGGTTTGTATTTCACCAGTAACTAACAGTGGTAGTAAAATAAGCTTAAATATCTCCATTGTGTAACTTTTTGACTACATTTTCCCAAGTTTCTCAAAGAAATGGGTTTTTATCTGAGCGTTGTGATCAACGCCTAAATATTCTGGACTAACAATCAGGAACACTCCCAAAGATGAAATTATCTATAAACAAAGTCATGCAGCAATGAGAGTGAGTGTAAGGATGATTAAGGTCATTGTTTTTTCAGGCTGTTTGTTCAGAGACAAAAACAAAACGCTCCAACCTTGGAAAACCTCTGCGAATGCGTCAGACAATAATGTTGAACTCATTAGATTTAACTTTTTGCTTCTGTCAACATGACCAGTTTTGGAAATGATCCAGTCCAATTTGACACCAATCATCAATTTCCCAGCTATCAGGGTTAGCTGTTTACATCCGGCAGCCATAACTAAAAACAAATTCAGTTAGGAAAGGTGAGAAATGCCAACTAATCCCTCAACTCCAAGTTTCTTTTCTGTTAACTGATAAGATTGAAAGTTTGGTGTAAAATGATCAAACTGAATCTTTGTGTTATTCAAAGTGGATTGAAAAGAAAACACCCAGGTGATCAGGAGGAAGAAGGGAGGGACAAGTTGGAGGAGGAAGCATGAGGAAGAGGAGGAGGTGAGTCAGAGTATAAAATGCTGCTGCGCCGCTTCAGCTGACTTCAGACATTCACTGAAGTTTCCTTGTCCGACTTTTAGTTCCTGCTGAAAATAGCAACATGTTCGGACGGTGAGTAAACGCCTCATGTTTTCTTTTTTGTTTTTCGTGCTATCCGCCTGTTTTCGCTGCCAGATTGTGTGTCAGGTTTATAACAACCGAAGGAATTTAATCACTTTTACGTCACTTCTCCACCTGCTTGTTTATGAAAGTTAAACTTTCATAACTGTTTAAGTTGTCACTTTAAATCTTGATTTATTTTGCTGGTTTTGATCAAATTCATTTCGCTGATGCTGAGTTTAGAGAAACCCTTTATATAAAAGTTGTTCTCGTCTATCTCTTAAATCAAAATAACACTTAAAAAAGGTGTTTGTGTTTTTTATTGACCTGTTTTACTTTATTTTTTTAGTTTTTTGGGTTAAATTAACTCTGTTATAGTAACTTCAGTGTTCCTGAGTGAAGCCCCCATCATCAGATTGCCTTCATGAAGCTAAAAGCATCTCTTTGAACGTCTGCGCTGGTTTTCTATTGCAGCTTGTAGTTTCTCTATACGTTGGAAAAGAAGAGACGCTTTGTGAGTTTTCCCCCCCAGGTTCTGTAGAGAAACACAAAGAAAGTCATTTAACCCTTCAGGCTGAGAAATGGTTTCCCCCAGCTGCCACTGAACACACCTGAGACTCATCAGCAGCCATTTACCATCCATCTCCACTCACAAATCTGATATCTTTGGTTGTTTTATCTCTTGAGGAGGTCTCTAAATGCGTCATAAAAATCCATATTTTAAATTTGATGGAGTCACAGACTGAAAATCTGTAGTTTGTCTCTTGTTGTTCAACTTGATTGCAAAGAGAAGCTGCAGTCAAACAGTCAAGTCAGCTTTGCATTGGAGACGTGCTGAAAAGTTTCTTTTTGTGTTTTTTTTAGATGTGTTGTTCTGCTGCTGTGCGCTCTCGCCGCTGTTTCCCTCGCAGCACCGCTCCAAAGTAAGCCGCTATGTCATCAACATCACCAACGACTGTTCATCGTGTTTACGCAGACTGAGCCGCCAAATCACTGAAACCTCTGTGAAACGATCAACTAGAGTGCATATTCACAAAACTCTTAGTTATTTTCATAAATTTGAATATTCTTTCCCTTATTACAGTTCAATCCCTGATGTATTCTCATTTCTGAGTCATTTTATAATTTGTAAGTTTAAGTTGTAGCTGCTCTACAGTTAGATCATTTATTATGTTGGATTATTTAAACGAAAGCTTTTCCCTCCACACTTTGACCAACAGGTGAAATCTTGAAGCAGAAAAAAAGGAGCAATCCAATCTTTAAAGTCAGCCCATTATTTATCTTTAAAATGTATTTTTATTTTAAGTTTTTGAATAAGTTCAGGTAAATCTAGTTTGAGTCCTGGTAGCATTTAACAGAATCCATACATTTACATTTATGATGGTTTAAAAAAAGACAGGCTCGTGTTTTCTTTTCCATGCTTTTAAAAATTAGCTCACTTAACTAGCATGTGCTCTTCTCTTTCCCATTTTGAAGAGTGGCAAGGGGTAAGGTTAGGATTAGGGTTACATGTTTATATTTTAACTTCAGAGAAACAGAAAGCCTTAAAAATATTTAAAAATCCACATTTGATCAATTTAGAAAAGTAAAGAATAAATTGCAAACTGCTTCAGTTGTATTTATTTTAAATACATTTGAGATGTTTGGTATTTTGGTTTTTAAAAATGTTCCCACTAAATAAATGCACTGATATTGATATTGCTGTAAAAGATTTCTATTACAGATATTGACATTTGGGTATTTCTAAGAATTTTATTGTGATCTTATATTGCTGCAGGAGAGGAGTTATTTATTTAAAGTCCTTTGCCTTGAAATTGTGTTTTTATAATCTGTTTTTGATCAAGAAGTTTCACTCATCTTTAATTTTCTTTGTTTTACAGCAAGTGCTCCAGAAGATGGTAAATATCAATGTTTACAGCTTCGATATATTGTATTTAAAAAAGTCCAACCTCTGGGAAGCCATTGACATCTTCAGGAAGCAACCAATCAGAGAAGAGAAGGTTTTCTGTTTCTCGCAGCTACTGCCCCCTTCAGGTGGCGGCGGTCACTTCAGCTCTGAACTTCATCAGATTTCTATTACAGCTACTTTTTGTTTCTTTTTCCTTCGGTTACAGACAGAATCGCAGCTCTGATGAAACACCTGAATGGTAACAGCTAAATAATCTGTCAACAGTAATCCTGAAACCATTGAAGGCTTTTTAATAATGTTTTTTCTTTTATTATTTTGTTTTTTAGAGGAAGCTACAGATAAACCTATGACCTCACAGCCAGGTAACAAAGACACACTTTATTAAAATATAGAGAACAAAGACACACTTGGGACAAACTCTACACACTTCTGTTTGTGTGTGAGACAAAATATATAACTCATAATTACTGTGCTAAATCATATTTATTTCTATCTTTTGACTCATTCAGACTCTGATGAGACAACTGAGATCCCAGGTCAGCCTCAGATTAAAACTCTGAGACATCAGGATATATTAATATGTTATTATATTGATGAGTTATAAGGTTTAATCACCAATAATCTGTCCTGTCTTCTAGTTGAGTCAGATGAAGTTGACACAGACGCTGCAATGACTGAAGGTAATATAAATATTTCACATGTCAATTTGTTGTTTTTAATCATTTTCCTGTTGTGTAATTGCTTAAAAATAAAGGAAATCATTAATATGGAGGTTAAAGATTTACAACCTTCAGTTTTCCAATTTTACATTTCCTGTTTTATTTTAATGAAACATAACATAATATTTAAACTTGGCATAAAATAGAGATATCCAACCAGAATCTGCTAAAACAATAATTTATGAGTATGTAATATTAACTGCAATGTTTATTCATAATTATTTACATTTTAAGAACTAGATTTAAGATCCAGAATTTGGATTAGAAGGCAAATTATTTGCAGGTACAACTTTAGTTTTTTGTTGTTGTTGTTGTTGTTGTTTTTTACACTGCAGGAAGCAATGGAAGATTTCAACAAAGCCAAAATGACAAAGTAATAAAAATTGTAAAACAAACCTAATTACACAGTAAACATATTTAATCTCTTGCAGAGTATTTTTATCACCATTGAACATGGTGACTTCAAAAGCACCAAAAAGGTGGCGCTATACTTATATCAACCAACTTTTTCTATTTAATACATCACATTCTTCCACATTTGTATTTAGCCCTTGTTTTTACAAATAGTTTCCATATTCAGTAGCCTGACACTGTTGTAAAGATTTATATTATTTCTGATGTTTTTTGTCTTGTTTGTCTCTGAAAAGCTCCAGAATCTGCTGAAGCCTCTGAGATTTCAGGTCAGTGTTTTTTCTCTAAGTGTAAAGGAAATGTTTTTGTTTTAATTAATTAAAGAAGAATGTTTACTATCATATCTTTGTTTTTCTATATTAATACAATATGATGTGACATTCTTGGTACCACTGTTGCCTCACAGCAAGAAGGAATCGCAAGACCTACCTGGAGTTAGCATGGAGTTAGCATGGAATTAGCATGGAGTTAGCATGGAATTAGCATGGAATTAGCATGGAGTTAGCATGGAATTAGCACGGAGTTAGCATGGAATTAGCATGAAGTTAGCATGGAGTTAGCATGTTGTCTCCTTGTGCATATGTGGATAAATGACAAAATGTTTTAATATCGTGTTTTCCAGAAGAGAAAGAAGAAAGTGATGCATATTCTTCTGTGGCTGAAAGTGGTAAAAACATTTAACCCACGTCTAAATCAGACATTGTTCCTTTTTCTGCTTTGTGTGTTTTATTTAATAGATTTAAGACTGGAACAAATTTTGCCTGAGAGGCAAATAAAACTAAAAAAGCATTGATCTTCTTTCCAGTTCACAAATATTTCACCTTATAGCATTATCAGTGAAATCTGACATGATGTGACTCATTATTAATTGTAGATGAAAGCAAAGACTCTCCTGAGAAAACTTTGGGTAATATTTATTTCACCTGTCTGAATCTGTAGCTGTGTGTTTCCCTGAAACCTCACCATGTCCATGTTTTGACCTGCATACATTTTTCAGAGTCTGCTGAATCAGACGAGAAAACAGATTCACCTTTTCAGCGTGAGTCTTCAGTTTATCACCAATTTTCACTCTTTTTAGTTATTTTTATTGCAATGTTTAAATTCCTTATTTCCTGTGTTTATCAGCCAGTTCAGTGGAGACTCATTGGACGCCTTACATGATGAAGAGCTCTGAAGGTGACGAGGAAGACAAAACACGTAAAACGGAGAAACGTCACATTCAGCCATTTTTATGTTTAATTAACTCCTCTACATTGGTTCAAAGATTCTTCCACCTTCAGTGTGGTTTTACAGTCTAAGGATGTTGTAAATATGTCACTTTTCATACAAAACATTTTTAGCATACTTCCAACCAGGGCCGGATTACTAAGAATTTGGGGCCCCGGACTGGAGATAGTTTTGGTGCCCAATCCATTACAGAAAAATTATTTTATTAATGTAAAACTAAAACATATTAGTAGGTAAAACTAAAAATCAGCAGATAAAAACTGAGGCATTTTAGGTTTAATATTACATATCAGTATTACTGTCCTTTAGTTAATAACTCCATGTTGTTTCCAAAGAAATCAACTACAAATTATTTGTTTTCATATAGTTTAATATTGTTTCTATGAGTAAAAATCCTCAAAAATTAATAAAATTCACCTAATTATGGGTTGTGAGTTTTCCATAAATTACAACGTTCATAAAACTTCCAATCATTTAAAAAAAGAAATGAAAAACCTTGAAAAAGAAAAAAGTAAAATAAATGAATAAACAATTATTTTACTAAATAGCCAAAATTTCCAAGGTTGAAAATTAAAAGGAGGATTTTTAGAAAGTGGAAATCCAACTCCTAAAGATATATTTACATAAAAAATATATTTTAGTTTAAATTTTTTTGTCATTTTAAACGTTGAAGTCTATAAAAAAACCTTTGAACCTTCCCAAATTGTATTTAGTTAACATTACAGGTGATATTCTTCACTCTTGTTTTGGACTTTTATATAAAATCATTTTTATGTAGACAAATCAGTCCGTCAACTATTCATACCAGTATTACTACCTTTCGCTTCAAGATAAAGATAATTAAATAAAATTTGTATTTTGATTTTACAGATGACGACACTTTGAGTAAAAGTGAGTATTTATTGATTTTATTCAACAGATTCATGATTATATAAAAACAGAGACATAACAGCAAATGGAAATCTTATAATTGTGTAATCCAATAATATAATGAGTTTTCGTCATGTTTACCTGTTCCTGTATTTACCTGTGTGCCCAGTCTTTGATAAAATATCTTTATTATAACTTTAATTCTGCTCTCTATTTGTATTTTTAGGTGTTTCAAAATCATCTGAGGAACCACGTCAGTTTAACGTTCATGTATTTTATTACTTCATGCTGTTAAAATCCACAACGTTAAATGTTTTATTTTCATCTTTTAGCTGCTTCAGATGAGGACACAGAACTGAAGGAAGACGCCGAGGGTAAGAACGTAAAAATTTATGTATTTATGTCTTCAATTGTGCTTCAGTTTCTGTTCAGAGATAAGTGGTTTATTAATGAATTATTAATTATTTTAACATTTTGAGTATTTCTACTTCAAATTATTTTATCTAGTGTTTTTGCTTTTGTTTTGTTTTTGTTTTTTTACTTTTTATTTTTCAAGATGTTGGTGATAACCCTGAAATTTCTGAGGAGAAAGCTGAAGGTGAGATTTATTTAGTTTGATTTATGTAGGCCTGTCACAATAAAGGTTTTTGATAGATGATAAGTTGTTCAAGAAATCATTGCGATAAACAATAATATTGTTGCTTGTCAATAAACTTTGAATTTTAATGAACATTTAACACTGGAACTGGAAGACATTTTAAATATCCAAAATAAATAAACAAGAAAACAGAAACAACAAATAAAATACATTATTAAGTGTCTGCAAACAAAACCGTCCTTCAAAAAAAGGATAGTTGAGATTAAAACACTAGACTGAAAACTTTTATTATTTTGACCTCCATGACCCTCAGCATCATCAATGCTTTTATTTTGAAGGTACTCCTGATGAAGGCTTTGATGATGTGGCTGGAGGTCAGATTGACTTTTATTTAATTGAAGCCATTTGATATTTAATGTTCTGATTATTATCACATCCGCAAACTTTATTTTTTCTGAAGTGTTATTTTAAATCATTATTTTTCTCCATCAGCTCCGTCTGAAGAGCTCGACAGAAACAAGTCAGAGGAAAACTCAGAAAGTAAGATTACAATTAAAATTCATTCTTTGATGCTGATTTATGTTGTATTTTTACTTAGTTTAGATCGTTTTTTCTTATAGATGCTTCTGAACCCAAAAGTGACGAATTATCAGAGGACGAACCTCAAAGTAAAGATTATAGTTGTAGTTACTTAATTTGTATTTCTTGTTGTTTTTAATATTGTTCTTTTGCAACTTAAATCTTGTTTTCTGTCTTTCAGCTGCTTCTGAAGACAAAGACAAGTCTGAGGAAAAACCTGAAGGTGAGATTTTTTAAATGTAGTTGGTTTAGATTTTGCAAATTCAAAATGAATGTAATCAGACTTTAGAAGTAACTAGTTACATTTACTCAATTACATTTAGTTCTGGAACATTTTTTGAAATACAACTTCGCTGTACTTTGAGTTATTTTGTTATGAAGTATTTGTAAAATTTCTGTATTTTCTACCCACTGAATGAAAATTAAACCTCCACCAGACACAGACACGCACCTGCAGTTTTTGTTCAAGTTTCATAAATTTCATATAGAAAAAAAAGCACATTTTGAAAAAGTTTATTTTGCCTGATTTTATTTTTTGTTTCTTATACTAATTATTGTCAGTTAAGTCCTTAAAATGCCAAAAATTCAATTTAATTTTCCATTTCAGTCCATCTGATTATGCAATTTTTAAATATAAAGTGATTGATAATTTGATCAGTTACTCAGACTTTTTACCAAATACTTTTTTATTCTTACTTGAATAATTTATTTTAGAGCTACTTTTTACTTTAACTTGAGTAAATTTATGTTGAAATATTGTAACTTGAATACCAGTTGTAGGTTCTCCTACAACTTGTAATTTAATATAAGATAATTTAATTTAAATTATATTTAAGAAAACAAAAAAATATTATCCAGAAATATGTTATCAGATCATTGCAATCCAATCAGATTGACAGGTTAAATTAAGTCACATAAAATCTATTTCAATTGGTAAAAACTTATTTATTTAACAGAATTCAGGCAATTATGAATCTGTTGCTTGATCACGTGCTTCCATATCAAGCACGTGGCCACAGTGGAGAGAAAAAACTCTCTTTAAACTGTTAAAGAAATGGTGCAAAAAAACTCAAAAAGGAAATAGAAGCCATGACACTGAAGTTCGCTCTAAATTAGAAAAAGAGTGAAGTTTTGTCTTGGTTTCATTTTGGAAATAAACACAACTAAAAGTTTTTAACTGGCAGTAAAATCTATAGGCAGTTGCTCTGTTTATCTAAAACCTTTGAATATTTTAAACCCTTCCCTTTTTTTTAAATTTTAGTTAATTTTGAAATGACCGACGTTCGGATGCCGGAGGAGAGCACTGATGGTGAGACTCAGAATCAATTTATTCCATTAAAATAGTTTAATGAGGTTTTACTTTATAATCTTTTCTTTCTTTCAGTTGCTTCTGATCAGGTCACCGAGTCAGACGAAGACACTAAAGGTCAGGTTCTGTTTTATATTCAGAATGTCTCTAAAAAGACACAAAAAATACTTAAAATAACCTCTTATAACAGTGACATTGATTATTTTGGGAAACAATTTTATTTGGTTTAAGGACATTCATTAAGACGGGGATTTCCAACAGAAAGCTTGTTTTTATTTTTTACTTTCCTCATCCTGTGATGAGTGACAAGATAAATAATGTTCCTGGTCCAACTTTGTCTATCAAAGTCTGTTTTTTTGTTTTTACTCTTTTCATTTCAAAGAGTAGCTGGAAGAAATAAGTCCCAACTGTTTCTGTTTATAAATATAAATACTTTCTGCTTATAAGCAGAAAATCATGGATTAGACATTTTAATTTCCCAGAAACTGATCACTTTTAGAATCACTGGTGGTTAATTAATGGGGAATGTGATGCTTTTGTAATAAAACATGTTAAAATTGGAGACTTTTGAGGGATGAAACTACTGTAATAAGGGATTTATTTTAATTTTTGGGGGGGGGGGTTTGACCAGAAAGGGGCAATAAAAAATAATAAACACTCAAACTGATTATATCGGCTTTAAGATGTTATAAAAATAGAATTTAAAACTAATGCAAGTTTTGCAAATTCAATTAATTAAAACATATTTATTGCAAAGGGAAACTAAGTGTTGCTGTTCACATATTAATTAAAAAAATTTTTTGTGAGTTTTTGTACAAACTGATAGCTGCAAAAAACACACAATTATTAACATGTTTATATTTAATTCCACAGAAACTGACGTCATTGAAGAAGTTGGAGGTAACAAAATTTTAGTCTATTAATAATTAAAATTTAAATATTTTTATTTTATTAATAATTTCCAACAAACTGAAATCCATGTTGCTTTGAAAACTAAATCTGATCCATTTTGTTTCTGCAGAAGTAAACGATGATTCAGCCTCTGCACCCACCTCCAGTAAATATTCATTATTCTGTTTAATCAAAATAACTCCATGTTTTCTTTCAATATTCTGCTCTTTGTGCATATCTTCTAAGTATATTGTAAATATAAAAGAAATTTACTTCTACTATTATTATGTGAGTTAAACGTAGGACTAATCTAGATAATTGATCTGTGGTCTCATCCTTGTTCAACTCGTTTGTCTGCATAAATAGCCGGTCTGACGGTAAATCTTTTGTTTTCTCATTAAGCTGAGCTTTTCTTCCTCCTTCCTCCTTCTATTGTATGAATTCCTTCTCATCTGAGACAAGAGAGACGAGAAGAAAACAAAAGTTTCTCATAACTTTAACAGGGAAACACCTGGAAACGTTTACGAAAACTATTTTATTTTTTAGTATTTAAAATCTTGGCTGCTGAAGTCTTCAGTGTTTTTTGGTTTTCTATTTCTGGAGCCCAATTTTTTGTTTTTAAAAACAAAAACATTTCTCATCACATTAGCGTCTTTTGGATCCTTAAAATCAGTCTTGTTTCTTGACTTTTCTATGAAATCTGTACAACTAACAGCCTTTAATGGAACAGTTCCTAATATTTGGTGCAGCTTTTTGTTGAATTGAACTGATAAAAATGCAGCTAAGATTTCACGTAGATACATTTGTTTTATTAACTACAAAAAACAAAGTTTTATTGTTCAAAAACAATCTTTACATTTTCTTTTGCGTATTAATATCGTGAACCAATGTGCTACTTTGCACATTTTCATGTACGTTTATTGAATTATGTGCGCTATTACTTATTGTTATTGTCTTTGAAGTATTGTTTTGTCTTTCTTCCCTTTGGGAAGACAGATTAAAAATGATCTTTTATGATTCACATTTTGAAACACACATTGGTGCGATTAGCATTTCTAAAACAGGAGACTTGTCGTCTAATCCCTTAGATTAATTGACGCTAATGTTTCTAAATCCAGCACCAAAGGTTGAAAGCACAAAAATGTTCTCTCTTCAGCCTTCCTGTTAGCTGCTGAAATTCTCACTCTCTTGATCTCTAAAAATACCCTCTTACTTACTTTTAACAGATTTTTGGATGTGTGTATCCTTAGTTAACACGCTGCTGGTGTGAATCCTCTGTGAAGTTTAAAATTAGATTATTTTTGTAAATCTTTTCCTTGATTTCTTTAATCTGTGACCTTCTGTTTATCAGCATTGCTAATATATCTTTTCTGTCTGGTTATTTTCCCTGTAGATATGGAAAAGGACTTGTTTGAAGAAGAGCTTAAAGGTGAAGTGGGCGGTAAGTCGATGTTATAAACACTTAAATTAAAACAACAGTAAGAAACATGTAGCGGTTAAAACAGTCGCTGACATCATTAGTGCTACTTATATCGTTTCTGCAAAAACAATCTCTGTTTACTGCATGGAGAAACAAAACCAAGGACTTATTAACAAATAAATATGTTTTTTTTTCCCAGATGAAACCACTGATTCTAAAGGTAAGAGTTTGTGCTAATTTCAAATAAATTCCTCCACAGAGTGTTAAAACCAGACAAGCTGGACGGTTTTCAACGTAAGTTTAGTCGTTTCTCATTTGATGCCAATAATTTGAAACTCATTAAATCAGCTGGGATTAAATTGCTTGTTGCAAGTCAGGATTTAATCGCCAATCCAGAAATTAACCAATCATATTCTTGCATCTATTTGCTTAGTTTAATTCCAGGCGGCGACTAATTTATATTATCATATTTCACACCTTTACCGTAGTAAATGCATAAAGCTGAAGAAAACATTGAGCAAAAATCAGCAGTTTTTGTACATTTTTTATCATTATTCACATTAACAGGTTTGTACGTTCTGTACTATTGAGAAAAAGTAAAAAATCTGACTTTAACCAAAGTCTGAATTCTGAGATTTAAGTCAGAATTATTTTTATTTTTATTTTTTTCAGTGGTCTTAATCCTTTTCCTCAGGTTTCCGTCTGATCCACTCAAAAGTCATCAATTGGATAGAAATGTTTGGGGGTTTTTTTCAAATTATTTTCTAAAAACTTCACTATCTCTAAAATTACTTGCATTATATTTTCTACATTATATAATTTTCCTTTTTATCACAATTAAAAACCTATCATTTATTATTACTAGACATGACATAAGTATTTTCTAATAATTTGATTTGTTTTTTAAAGTCAGGATCTATCTTATCCAGATTTGCTTATTTTTAAATGCAAATTAAAATGCAGGCTGATACTAAAGTTTTAATCTTTTACTTTTTAAACGTTTAAACTGTAAATGTTGCGTTAAATGTAATCGACCTGTTTTTTCTCTCCAGATCAGGATGAACTGAGTGACGACGCTGATCTGAATGACGGTGGTAAATATAAAATTTTATGAATCAACTGTAATTCACCAGGTTGTAAAATAATTTACACTGCAAAAACACAAAATATGAAGTATTTTTTTATTAGTTTCTAGTTGAAATATCTTAATTCAAGTGCAGTTACTTAATAGTAACATATCAGAGAGATATAGAAACTTATTTTAAGTAAATAATTCTTTGATATTGATAATAAATAATAATAAAAATAGTTCCATAGGCAGATTACTTCACTAAAACACGAGGAAATTGTCTTGTTATAAATAAACTCATCTGCCAATTAGTACTTGTGAAATCAATATTAAGGGATTATTTTTCTATATCTTTCTGATAAGTTACTTTTAAGTTAACAATTTATAGAACAATTGAGTAACTATGTTAACTTCAGTCATGATAAAAAAAAAATACTGTATATATTTAGCTTAAAATAAATTTTGACACCTTAAAATTGGGTCTCTGTCTCTTTAAGAAGCACCTAATCTTTCTAACTTTGCGCCTTCAGACCTTCACTGTTAACCTGTTTCCAACCGTTCTTAGGAGCGATGGACTGAGAAGTAGCTAGTATTTCCACCAGCTGTTTGCTAATTGCTGCTGCCGCTAGTTTGAAGGAGCTGAGGCAGAAACTCTGCTGAAATAACATTATAACATGATATAAGCTCAAAACGTCTATATAAATGCACTAATTTGGATAATTACCATGATTTTATGTTTTATTCTATAAAGATATGTTAATATCTAAAAGAGCCAGATTGTTGAAAGCCTTAAATGATTTATTTATGATTGTTAATTTATGCTGAATCCACAGACACTCCAGTTGATGACGACAAGAAGGAATCAGATGAAGTCACTGACAAAGACCAGGGCACTGACAGCTTAGCTCATCAAGATGAGGTGGAGGCTACAGATGTCACATCAAATGAGGAAGACCTACCGAAAGACGACGGCGACGAGAAAGAGGCTGCGCAGGACGCCCAGGCGATAGAGGAGGAGCTGGATGAAGTCGAGGCTGAGACTCCAGACAGCAAGGATGAAGATCAAACCGACAAACTGGGCGACGCAGAAACTGATACGAACCAAACCGACAGCAAGGCAGAGAAAGACGAAGACGAGCTGGACATGCTGGATGAAGAGATGTTTGAAGACGATTCACAGACTAAGGAGCCGGACGACCCGGCTCTAGACACGCCCGACTCCACCGAAGGTAAACGGTTATGGCTAACAGGTCAAAGTTCAGACTTCAGGACCTGCTCACGTCTTACAATCCTAAATTTTATTACGATTTTGCATAATTTTAGGTGACAGAGCAACTCAAAGCTGCAGTACCTCAAAAAATCCTGCGATGTTTATTTTTTCTTAATATTTTTGTTAAAGCATCCATCTGTAATAATCCTATTTCAGTGTTGTTGTTTTAAATATTCTGCGTAACTTCTAAAAGCATTTTTAATTAATAAGTATTACCCACTTGTGTGCAATTAAATTTTGAGTTTTCAGGCAGCTGAGGGAACTTTTGCAAACAAAATCAACTTTCTAAGCTTTAAGCATCTTTGATCACCTAAAACCTGGAAGAGAATAAAAACATTTCAAGATGAACTTTAATCTTTTCTCAAAATATTGTTATTTTTGTGACACATTAAAATTATCTTACAATAGATATCATTTCTGGAATTCAACGTTTCATAATTTTAAATTAGTGAAAAATAAACATTGTGCACCAAAAAGACAAACTTTAAGGAGGGAAACATAGAAAAGCCCATAAAGTTACGCAGAGTAGTGGAGCGAGTGAACTGTTTTAAAATGAAACATAAAACTTCAGCTCAATTGAATTCACTAAAATACTTTCTGGGTTGTAAAATCTAGACTTCAATAAATAAATGCAGATACATGTTTCAGTGTCATGACCAAAATGTGTATCTGCATTTGGATGCATAAAGATTTAATTGGATGAAAGAACAAAATGTCTCTTTTTCCAACCAAACTTTCAGCACTGGAAAGTTATCCAGTGTTATTGTTGTTACTTTGACTGTGACAGCTTAACAATAATATTAAATACATTTGCAAAACGTAAAATATTTAAATTCACATAAATATGGTTGTATAAAAATATATACAAGATTAATAATCTGACTTCCACATTTACCATGATTAAAGTTAAATTACAATGCAGTAGTTTGTAATAATTGTGTTATTTTTACTGGAAGAGAATAAATATTATGTAATGTAGACATGCTTTCAAAATAAACAATTTAAAGACAGAATTAATTAAGAGTTAAACATCCAAATGTGACAAGTTTTATCCCTTTGCAGCACAAACTTCTGACATGGACCTACTTGATGACTCCACTCCTGCAGGTAGATTTCCTTTGTTTCAGACTCAACATCTCACTCAGTAACAGAAAATTTAATTCCTAGTTTGTGATCATAAAAATAAAGATTTTCACTGATGTTTTTCATGCTAACTAAAGAAAGCTTCTGTCTTTCTCTAATAGCTGGGAACCAGACGCCCAGTCTCTGAACCGTGGAAGCTCTCTGATGCCAGGTATCACCGAGAATATAAAAATAAAAACATTTTTCATTTGTTTATGGAACAAGCTTGAATTTAAGAGGAAATGAAATGTCAGAAACATACACATATATTTTTGTCTTACATTATTTTTGAGTTGCAAAAAGAAACTTCAATGGATTTAATGGATTTTTTAAAGGCTAGTTTATTATCTGAACTTCAAGATTTATTGCAAATATGAAATATTTACAACATTTTATGTTGCTAAAATATGCCATAACATAATCACAGTTTGTTGCACAGTAATTTAAAAACTGACTTTAATTACTTTAAAAAAATAATTCAGAAGTTTCTAAGAAGTCGAAGCTTTTTTGCGTCCTGCTAACATAATTGAGTAAATGAACGATGTGATGTTGTTTCCTGACAGAACGGCGCTCCGGTGTCTCCATGCTGATTCACTGCTGCCATGATAAAAACAACAAACTAACCTGCAACTAAACTCAGCTGTCTCTTTGTTTTGTGTCTTTTTGATTTGAGGCTGCTTATGTTTTTCATGAAGAGATCTTAGAAAATGTCTTCTGTCTCCTCCTTGTTCTTCTCTGGGGTTTCGTTTAATTTTAGCTCATTTTCTCACCTTTTCTGCAGAATTATTTTCCCAGCTGCTGATCTTAGATCTGCTCTGTGGGTCTGATTTCACACATTAATGTGTACATACAGTCCACCGTTTACTTTGCAAACATTAATGATTATTTTTTACAAGAAATTGACGAATGTCGAGTCCTTCACTGTACACAGAAATTGGCTAATAAAGTGTGAACCGTCAGAAACTGCCTGAATTTTTTCTGAGAATAAAAAGTCTGTTTTTCATAATCATTTGGTGAATATAACTTAATTTCAAGTAATTTGTTTTTGCTTACTTACTTATTTTATATATCAATGGTATTTAACAATATAAATTTTCAGAATAGAAATACCAAGAAGATAATTTCTGTTTTAATGTGTTTTGGGTTTATTTTTACTTTACTTTTCCATTCGATAACTTGTAAAATGTAATTTAAAGAGCGCAGATTTTCCTGAGAGATGCAACATGACATCACTTCCTGCCTCCATGTCGTCATTTTGATAGGTGGAAGCAGCTTTCGTTGGATATAATTGGATTCAAACAGGTGATAAAAGTGTAAAAAGAAGTTTTTCATTACAGCCAGAGAAGGTGAGCAAACTTTACTAAGCAGCGACAATTATCCAGAGAAAAGCCAAATCATCTAATACGCACTTTACTCATTCAAATGTCTCTAAAATCAGCCAGTCAGAAGTGTTTTGGACGGATTGCTGTAAAAATAAAAGATACTTTGTATTGAAAACTCATATTTTCTCACATTTAAGCATTTATAATAATCCTACAGTGAACAAAAAGTCTACACATCCCTGTTCACATTCAAGGCTTTTGTGATGTAAAAAAATGACAGCAAGACAAACATTTTCCCAACTTTTTCTACCTTTAGTGTGACCTTTAACCTGTTCAATGCAACTGAAAACCAAACAGAAATCTTTCAGGGAGGTGAAGTGAAACCAAACAACTGAGGTAATGTGGTTGCATAAGTGTGCACATTCTTTTACAACTGTGGGTGTGGCTGTGTTCAGATTTAACCTGTTATATTCAAACTCATGTTGAATTGGAGTCAGCACACACCTGCCACCAATTAACCACCAATTAAAGAGCCTCTGATCAAGTTCAGCTGTTCTAGTGAGCTTGTCCTGACATGATGCAGAGACCATGGCTTGTGTCTTTGCAGCACAGGCTACGGTCCGCGAAGAGCTGCCACAGCAGCAGAGGGATCTCATTATTCAAAGGTATCAGTCAGGTGAAGGCTACAAAAGAATTTCCAATTCATTAAATATCCCATGGAACACTGTGAACACTGTCGTCATCAAGAGGAGAAACAGGACGTCCGTCCAAAATTGATGAGAAGGAAACTGGTCAGGGATGTTCACAAGACAGCAACACTGAAGGAGCTGCAAGAATGTCTGGAAAGTGCTGGCTGTGCAAAACACATGACAACAACCTCCCATCGTCTTCATGTGTCTAGTCCAGAAGCCTAATCTTACAAAGAAAAATATCAAAGTCCTGCTTAATTTTGCAAAAACACATCTGAAATCTCCCAAACACACGTAGAAAATGTTCTATTGTCTGATGAAAGCAAGGTTGAACTTTCTGGACATAAATCCAAAAGGTATATTTGGCACAAAAACAACAGTGATCATCACCAAACGATACTGAAGCATGGTGGTGGCAGCATCATGCTTTGGGGCTGTTTTGCTTCAGCTGGATCTGGGGCCTCAGTCAGGGTGGATGGAATTATGAACAGATCCAAATATCAGTCAAAACCTTCGGCCTTCTGTTGGAAAGCTGGAGATGAAGAGGAACTTTGTCTTTCAGCATGACGACGACCCGAAGCTCACGTCTTCATCAGCAAACAAATGGCTTCACCGGAATCAGATTAAGGCTTTGGAAAGGCCCAGCCAGAGTCCAGGAGACGCCCAGCAATCTATAGGATTTGGAGCAGTTTCACAAAGAGTGGGAGTCTATGTTCCCATCCAAAAAACTGTTATAAAAGCCAAAGCTGCTGCAACAAACTGTTAGTTTAAGGGTTGCATATTTAGCAACCAAGTTATTGTACGTTTTTTATTTTATATTTTCCTCCCTGAAAGATTTCTGTTTGTTTTTCAGTTGCATTGAACAGGTTAAAGGTCACATTAAAGGGGAAAAAAGTTGGGAAAATGTTTTTCTTGTCATTTTTTTACATCACAGAAATCTGGCGTTTGAACAGGGGCGTGTAAGACTTTTTATATCCACTGCATGTTTTTCAGGATATAATCTGTCTAGTATTTTCAACAAAATTAAGGAATTATTAACTTAAAATAAAGTTCTATATATTACATAAAAGTAATTTATAAGTTAGTTTTCTCTTATTTCAAGAGTATTAAGATATTTGCACTGCAAATTGGACCAAATATACTTGTTAATATTATGTTTTTTTGGAGTGTGGCTCTAAAGTGTTTTCACAATTTTCTGGGAGTTTGTTCCAGATTTGTGGCACATAGAAGCTGCTTCTTGGTTCTGGAGAGAAACTGATGTTTTATTCTTTTCTCAATTCACACAATAGTTTCAATCAGTTCATTTTCTGCATCCTAATGTTTGTAAAGCATTTCACTGGTTTTTAAGCACTGATCCCCCAACAGGTGTGTTGAAGTGGGATGAGTCGGGTTACCCGATGCCACAGGTTGATGTTGTGGAAGAACGACTCCTGACCATAAAGTTCCTCTCAGCAGATAAATGAAAACTGGCCTGCAGGTCTGCAGAGGTTAACTGATTCACACACCACAGAAGAAGGGGGCAGGAGGGCTCTTCCTGCCAGATAAAGGAGGCTTGTTTCAAAATGTCCCCTGATTGGTTAATGGGGTCACGGCAACTTATTGGACCCTGACTGATATGCATGTGTGTCTCCGTCTGTTGGGGTGGGATGTAAAATAAAGCTTTGTTCAGGTGAGTTTCACACAGAAGGAGGCGATGGGTCGATATCTGTGAGAAGGGATTTACCTTCACCTGAGACGTGCAGACCTGCCCAGGTGTGGAAGTACATCATGTTCTGGTCGCTTCCTGACGCTAAACAGCAGCAAAACTTATGCTGCACACAAAAATATGGAAACTTCTTTATATTCAGCAACTGCAACATATCGGGAATAAACCACCAGAATTTACCAGAGGCAGAAACGACGCGATTTTTAAAAAGAAACTCAAGCAGGTTGAAAACAAACTGGAAGCTTGAAGTGGACAGTTTTAGTTATTTCTTGAGTAAATGTTTCCTGTTGATTTTTTAAAAATCAATCAAGTTGATTTTTATGACATTTCAGCAACAAAGCAAAGTGTTTCACGTCATAAAAACACAAAAGTCATTGAACATGCAGGTATTAAGCATCACATTGTGTCAAGTGCCATCGTCACACATTAAAATGTTGATTAATAATTCATTTGTATATATAGTTTTTTAATTTGACTTATTTTAGTATAACAATGTGTTTCGTATTGTGCAGTGAGGTTGTTTTTTCTTCGGTCATGGAATGAAATTATGCTAATACTTGCATATTCACACTGCCATGAATTGTAATATTGTTCATATAATCCTAATCAAATAAATAAAACTGACACTTAAGTAAATAGTAACTGCAAAAATGACATCTACATGCATATTTTAGCTGATTAAAATGTCGCCTGTACTATTTATTGAGACATAAACTCCTTTATTTGAGTATTTTCACCCAAAGTTTGTCAGGCAAACATTAGGTGTTTTCCTGACAAACACCCAATGTTTGAGAAAATTGATCCAACTTCCAGTTCTGGTTCCTCAGGCGTCACGCTGCTCTTTGTTTCAGTCCAACGTCCAGGTGAGCTCCAGTCATTCAGAACCAAGCTGGACCAGAACGCCATGTCTTAAAAGCGCCCCTAATTCTTCATCTGGACCCCGTCCCGGAGTCCAGGGCCGGTTCCAGCTTGGTTCTGATTTCAGGACGTGTCGCAGTCGATAGATGGAAACTCATGTTCTGCCCTGATTCACACAGACAGCGGGAAAGTTTCATTTCAAAATAACAGCAAAGAAGGTCGCCGGGTTTTCCAGAATGGCGGATGGTTTTACTTTGTTTTCACAAAAAATAAATAATTAAAAAAAATCTCTGTAATCAAAAACAGAAATCAATCAATCTGTTTTCTTTTCCCACAAAGGAGCAACATTCATGACGTTAAATTTAAGTGACATCAATTACAGTTAGTAACAGATTCTGCTTTAGTTTGATCTCTAATTTCAGTTTTATAGAATGTTTTATTTCATTTTCTCCCAACTTTTCCAAATCTTCTCCAGCATCCTGTAAACAAACTTCACTGTGCTTTTTCTTCAGCAGTGGAGTCTTGTGCAGTGACGTTCAGAGTCGATTAGTAACTGGAATAATTTTTTGGGAAAAAAAAATATACTTTTAGGAGTATTTTTACCACGCTGTACATTTTACTTTTACTTGAATATTTTTATTTTGAAATAATTTTGCTCTTATTTGACTAAAATTTCTGGATTTTTCTACCCACTGAATGAAAAACAAACATGTTTTAACCGAAAAGTCATCAGACACACACCTGCAGTTCATTAAAAGTTTCATAAGCTTCATATTGAAAGAAACTGTTTTGGAAAAATGTCATTTTGCCTGATGTTATTTTTTTGTTACTTTAATAATTTACTGTCATTTTGGTTCTTAAAATAACCAAAATTTCCACTTAAGTTTATATTTTGGTCCATCTTGAGGTTAGTTAGGAAATTTTATTCATTTGATTAAAAACAAAACAATTATATAGAATAGAAAAATTAGAGCAGCAGCAGGAAAAAATATCATATAATATCTCTCCTTTTTGTCCTGAAAAATATATTTAAACAAAATGGATTTACAAAAACATCATCTCAAAAATGTTTGTATAGATTCACATGTTCTATTTCATATTTCTTAAAAAAAAAGATAAAAAACCTAACATTTTTTGCATTTTTAGCATAACTAAAAGTCTTATTTTCCTTTAGATTCTGTAAGCATAATTGATGCTTTCTGGTAAAATTCAAACATATTACCATTGTAATCGGACTCCATTCAAAGTAACAATGTGTTTTTGTGTTGTCTCCATGTTCAGAACAAAGCAAAAGGTCAGAGGTCACTGCAAAGCCAGACAGAAGGTCGTTGTGGGTGTGGGCCTTCAGTGATGTATTTATTTCCCTGGAATGTTGGCGGCCGTTTCTCTGCAGCTCTCTGCCTCTTTAATAAAGCTTCCTTTCTATACGTCTCTTAGCCTGAGCAGAAACAAAGAGCTGCAGGTTCGCTGAGGTGAAACTGAAGCAAAAAGCTGCAAACAAGCAGCCCATTTTCCTTCATGAAACCAAACACTCTGCATGTGCAGCTGAGGACGAAATCCACCTGATTCCCAAATAGATCATATCCTTTATGCAACATGTATTTTGATCAGATTTGATAAGATGTTTAAGTGTAAAAAGATCAGTTTTATTGTGTTGATGGTGAATGATTGGAGTTTTTTTTTTCATGTGAGGAAGGATTGCAGAGCCATCCTAACTCAAACAAGTTAATCCCTGGAAGTTTCTGAAAATATTCTCCATAACTTCAAGGTTTAAATGGTTTAAATGGTTTCTGTCAAATAATTTTAATAAATGTGTTTTAGATGCATCTAAACTCACTGGGTTGATGAAAGAATAAAAAGTAGCGTTATAAAAAACAGCTTTGATTTAAAGCCCTTCTCTAAATCATATTTTGTTTTCTTGATATTGTGACAGCAGACAAGTGCAAAAAACCCAAAAACTTAAAATGAATTTTCACCAAGAGCTAGGAGCTTGTTTTGAGTCAATTATTTTTATAATATTGATGGAAAAGTTCTAGTTTCACTTGCAGATTAATTCACTTATAACAAGACATTTTCTCATTTTATATGTAAAATATTTTTTTTTATCAAAACTAATAAATAAAGTTAATTCTTCTTCCTGAAAAATACATTTTCTAGTGTAGTAAGTCTAAAAGTATTTTGTACAGTTGAAATAAGAGAAAACTAAGTAACTTTTCAGCGAGAAAACTTTATTGATTTCAAGTTAATATTGATGAAAAAATTCTAGTTTTACTGGTAGATTATTTCACTTATAACATGAGAAAAATGTCTTGTTATAAGAGTAATAATTTACCAGTAGAACTTTCTCACCAAAACTAAGAAATTATTGAATTAATAAGCTCATATCTTGCAAAAAAAGTTACTTCTAAGTTATTTTTAACTTATTTCAAGTCTATTAAGATGTTTGCACTGGAGTACTTGGTAAGATTTTTGTTTTTACAGTTTGACACTAAAACCTTTTTATAAATGACTTTTGTGTCCACACTAAGCTGTGAGGATGGTGACCTCCACCTCTCTCAGTGAAATCACATACTTGCATGTAGAACCAAAAGTTCTGCCCCGTTTTCTTTATGTCTGAACTTACAGAAAAAGTCTCAAAACGTCTGCATGTCTGTAAACTGACATGTCCCAGATCGGCGTGGATCTCTGACTTGTACCTATTTTCCTTTCGTGTTTCTAGGAATTGTACAGACAGCCTTATCTTTCTCCTGAACAATACACATCTGTTCCAACCCAGAAGTTAATTACAAATGAAACACGATCAAGTCGAGCCGAGCGAAGCCCGGAGTGGAGAGCCCCGGTATCGGAAAGGTAAAACAGACGTACAGGCTGCAATCTTTCATTCTCTGCTCCATGTTACTCACACATGTCCATGTTTCTTTTTGCTCCAGCGGTTTTTTACTTTGTTTTTCAGAGTTGCATGTGATTTACTGCATGTTAACATGTTGCGTGTTGATCTGCAGGTCAGCTGTGCCCTCCACTGGCTGGCGGTTAACACTGATCTCTGGATCAGATTACTCCCAGCGGATCAGCTGTCATCAGTCCAAGCAGCTTGTTTCACTTCCTGGCTTAAATTCAGAGGAAGAAGAGGTTAAAACTCTTTCTTTAATACTTCTCAAATCTCCAGATATTTGTTTTAAAATAAATAACCAAATATTTGTATTGATAAAGTCCAGTTTGGATTGTGAGTTTTTAAGAAAGTCAGTTGAATTTATTCGTATTAACTGATATAAAACAACTAACTCTATAATTTCTTAGTTTGTACAGAAGTATAACAAATACTCAAAGTTTTTAGTACCTTAACTTTTAATGTTGTCCATTATTATATTTCTTACCAATGAAGATTTTTACATTAATTATTGAGGACGGTATGAATAATATTCAGCATGCCATTTTCAAGAAAATGTGACATAATTATATTACCTTATTTAAATTTTTTTTTTTTTTTTTTTTTTTTTGCCTGGTTTCACACCAGAACAAACTTCTGAGGTGAATAGGAATAATTTTAAATTTAATTGTCTCATCAGTTTGAATCATTTTGTGTTTAACTTCACAGAGATTTTCTTTCTAAATTAAAGTGACGCATCTATTAAAGGAGACCGATCCCAAATGTTGAATATTAACAGCTTGTTTGGTTTGCATGAGTTTGTCTTGAACATAAAATACACAGTAAATGGAGTTTAGTGGATAAACTATTAATGTCACCAAAGGAAAAGCTCCCAACCTCTTATATAAGAACAATATTTTACATAAATGTAATACATTCTGTCCACAAAGCTTATCTGTAAATGTCATTAGATAGAATTAAAATTCATGATTATTTCCAGAAAAATAAATTCACCCATGAATCTATTTTACATCAGCCTAAATAAACAATCATATTTAAATGGGACTTAGAGGACTTACCCATTCACAACAATTCAACATCAATAAAACACGTTTTCACCTTTTAATTGTCATTTACATTCACATTGTTTATGTGAGACATAATTTTTGATTAGATCTTTAATGTTGAATTTTATCAGAAAACTCTAAAAGTCTGTAAAATAATAAGATACTGATGTTCTGTCTGCAAAATAATTAGAAAAATTAGCTTGGAGGCATTTTGTCACAACTAAATGTTTCTGAGTTTTTTCCTTTTTCTTCCTTGTTTGTTGAGTTACTTTTAGTTTTATTTATTCTGTTGTATTTATTTATATGCATTTCCTCCCTGCTTTATTTACTGTTAATTTTTATTATCCTGATTGAATAAACAAAGCCTGTTTTACTTCACACAGTTGATTATTTTATTTAATTAATTATTTAATTATAAAGTATGAGTTACTTTTGTCAGAACCTTTTATTGCTTTTTTTCCCATAAATTATGGATCTGTTACATTTTTCTAACAAGATCATTCCATTACCAGCAGTCTGCAGACTTTTATTTAATCATTTTCATGACTTATAAAGATAAATGCAAGTTAAATGCTTAGATTTTAAATACAATTTAATTCAATTAAAAATGATAATTGAACAACTTTGTGTTTTCTTTGATTTACATTTACTTACATGAAGACCAAATAATGCCAGCTGCTCTCCTGGTGGTAGATTATATCATCTAAAAGTCACAAAACAACATTTCCTCACAGTAAACTCTGTAAGTTTAATTTATAAAACTCACAAAATCTCAGACATACTTTTCCTCTCATCAATTCCATTAAAAAGGCCTTTATTGCAACAAATTGTTCTGATAAAAAAATATACATTTAACTTCACAGATTACAAATAATGATTCAGACAATGAAGCTGCTATAAACAGTTTATTATATTTAGTCATATAAATCTCTTTAATCTTTTCCTTATTGAATAGTTTATTGTTTAACTTAATTTGACAGTAAACTTGATTTATTTGAATGTATTTAATTTTATAAGGTTGATATGATTTTCAGTATATAAATACAAATAAACTTCTACAGTGTTGTTTAGAGGACTTACCCATTCACTGCAACAATGACCAGATGGTAAAATTACTTTAAGCTCTAATAGGGGTAAAATATACCCCAACATGATTGCTAGCATAAACATATTGTGTGATATGACACATCGCTGGTGCAAAAGTGTTATTTCATGACTAAAAAAGCCAAAACTGCAAAGGTTTAAGCGATAAACCTGCAGGTAGTTTGATGAAGCATTCTGAATCTAATGTCATCGCTTTCCTAAACTGATGAACGAAATTACTTTTTTCCAGAAGTGATTTTAGTAACAAATATTACCACCTTTTTCTTTCCAAAGGACGCTGCAGGCACCAAAATAAATAACTCTTGGTAAAAATAAAATAAAAAAGGTTTAGGGCAGAAACGTCACATGTCCTTAACAGCTGTGAGGTTTCTCTCAAAGATTGAAAACAAATCTGTCTCTTTATAAAACTTATTTGTTTTTCCTTTGCATGTAGATAAACACTAACATAGTTTTCACAATGTAAATTGTTACAGATTGTTATAGTTAAGTGGGACTAATTCGCCTGAAGTGTCCTTAGATATTTTATCAAAAACAAAGAATTAGCATGTCCACAAAGAGTTCTTCTGATTGTTAGAGGTCACCTGCCTCTACCCTTACCCCCAGTGCATGATGGGAAGTCTCTCAGTTTAGCTTGCATAAAATCTGAACATTTAGCATGGATGAAGAAGCTACAGAGAAGAAGCAGCAGAATGAGGAAGATTCAATTTGTACTGCAGCCGTTTCCGGGGCATGAAGTTTGTATTTGCAGAAGTGTTTGTAGTTTTTAGGGGTAGCGTTGTCAGCCCCTCCCCTCGGTGTCTGTGTATAAATTTGAGGGTTTGAAGGAGGGGCTGCAGCTCTTCAGCTTCATCTCTTTAGTTCAACAGAAAAAGTGTCAGACAGCAGCATGCTGCCACCGTGAGTAACGCTGATTATCCTGAGATTTGTGCCACTGGTTTTATGTTGTCATTTACTGGATGAATTTATCTTTATTGTGCTGATTTGTCTTCATAATATTGATCTTTACCACTTTTTTTATGAGAAATTTGCTTTTATATTACTGATTACAAAATAATTCTGTCCTTCTGGGTTATTGGTGTATTTTTTTGTTGCAATATCCATCCTGGTTTTTCAACTAAATAAATGTTTTTATATTAGAGTTGGGTTAAATTTTATTTTAATATATATATAATTACTTATTTATAGTTTATCTAGTTACAAAGCAGCAATATTGAAATATTTTTCTCCTTTTTCTAATTAATCTGACTGTTTATCAGATTGTGATTAACAGATTTTTTTAAGGAAAATTGGTCATAATTATAAAGCTAATTATTAATTTTCTTATATTTATTAGTTTTTTACTCCTGGAAAGAAAAATAAGAAAATTTCTTTAAAAATCTGCTTTATTAATGAATACTCCATGTATTTTTTTTATATAAAAAAAGAAACCTATTGATCGTGTCGATAGTCATCCTGGCAACTACAGCATCTACAGCACCTGTGGAGGGTAAAAAATGAAAAATATGAGATTAATATTGTTTTACTTTTTATATTCTGGGTTCTGCAGCTGGTGGAGATGAGAGTTTGTGTTGTGTCTTCCAGAGAAGGAGGTGGAGGAGGTGGAAACGGAGGCCACAGAGATGTTGGAGGGGGAGTTGTCTGAGGAGGAGGAGGGTAGGGCTGTGCATGAGAAAAAAGAATCAAATAATTTCACTAAAAAACAAAAGGTCAAATTAATTCATCTTAATCTGATGAATGAATAATAACCACAAAACTAAGCTGATCATAAAAATATTTTAAAACTTTTTGCTTCATGAAAAACACTTGAAAAAGCATTAAACCGTGTGAAAAATTGAACCTCTAACTTCACATGTTAACTCTTAACCTTCAATACCAATAACAAACCACACTAACAACTTTATTATGCTTTTATTTTAATCAATCTATCAAAAAATGTTTAGATTTAGGAAAATATAGACATATTGATTTAGAGAAGAAAAGTCAAACTATCTTAAAAATTGGAATTGTTGCAGTTTAAATGTTTTAGCAGTTCTTGTTTTGTTAAACAGGAGACGCTTCACTCCAGAAGGGAAACTAAATATTTTAATCTGTTTGGTATTTCAAAGGGTGATTAAATAACTTAAATGACACCGAAACTTTTTTTATTAGACGTTAATAAGTTCAACATTGTTTACATGTTTGTTTTCTACATCAGAACTGTAAGGATACGATGTTTTTTCTGTAACTCTCCCTTCACCTTTAATGGATAAAAGTTGTCGTTATACCAGACAGAGATGTTCAGTAGAAAGCTGATAAGGAAAAAAAAACACTTTGCTGTGCAGCTTTTCAAATACTTGTCATCACACCGACCAAGCATTAAAAATATGTTTTTCTAAAAGTGCTGAAAACTGAGCCAGGATTTGTCAGGATATCAATATTTTTATGGTTTGTTTAGAAATATTTGCTCTTGCAGATGCAGTTTTTATGTTTCATTTGTTGTCTTTTTCTCCAGATGATTAATATTCAACCATTTGAAAATTATAATATTACAGCCACACTTCACTGCACTGTGTACTTTAAACCCCAACAACACAGATAAAACAACAGCATGCTTTATTTACAATCACAAAGTTCATTTTTCAGGAACTAAATTCACTTAATGAAACACCTTATATAGATCAATTACACTAACATTTGTTTCCAACTCTTTATTTCTTTTATTTATGATCATTTTCTCCTTGCAGGTCAAGAAAACATAACATTTAAAATCAGAATATTTTATCCGACTAACAAAAACAATACACACATCCTAAGTTTAAAGGTAACTTTCAAAAGGTATTTTTAATTTGACAAACGAGCCCCATCAGAAACCATATTCTAATCATATTGGACATAAATATGTGTATTATAGTGACTGCTTACATCTCTACAAACAGGCTGGGCGAAGTTACTGCAACATTTCAGATCATTTCTTATGTTTTAAAACATTTCTGCAGAGTTTTCAAAAACAATTTCCACAAAAGGGCAAAGATCATCTCAGAAAAATTACATTTTCATGGCGACAAAGCCTTAAAATCATCAAGTTTATGTGTACATAACAGTCATTTGTAGTCTGCAGAGGTAAAATAAAGTTTTGCTTCCTGCCCAGGGCCCCATTTTTCCTGCAACCGGCCCTGCTGGTATGAAGACTGAAGTGGCTTTAAACAAAACAAAATAAAATTTAAAAAAAAAGGTCGGAAAATTACAAACTCAATGTAAATTAATTCCAGCCAAACAGAATTTAAAAAATTATAATAATGGAATAAATATTTAAACGTTAAACATCCGACAGAGAGCAGACAGTTCCTGGCGTGTTTCTCGTCTGAATCTATAAAAATGATGTTAAACCTTTTTTAATTAGAAAAATAAATGTTGGATTTTTCTTCTTTTCAGATGATGATGATGACTCCAAGAGTCAGGATAATATTGATGGTGAGCAGATAAAACATCATGACCTTGGCATATAAACCTTCATAAACAAAAATATAAATTGAAGGTCAAACCTATGAAATTTATTTTTAAACTAATTATTTTATAAAAATCTGAGGCTAAGCCCAACTTTATCAGACAATCAGTAATTTAGACTATAAACCTACATTCTTCTCATTGGAATTTCTTTTTTTTATATATAAAAAAAACTAATAAACATTTTTTCCCTTAGTAAACGAGCAAATCTGAAATTTCACTGAGTTTGCATTTAAACTCAGCTGCAGGATTCCTTTTCAGATTTTAATGCCACGGATCCTCTGTGTTTTTAATAACCTGATAGAGACAGAAGGTTTATTCATGCCGAACACCTGATCCCCTCTCCTCCTCCTCCTGCAGGAGCGCAGCAGACCACCGTGTCGGCAGCAGCAGCCGGAGGTTCAGGTGAGTCAGACCCGATCGGGTTTTCCTCCTGAAAAGTCTGCTTGTTTCCAGTTTGGTTTCACATTTAATCCAGATTAACTGGCAGGTATTCTGACCAGGATTAACCTGATTCACTTCCAGAAAATAGTTCCACAATTGTGGCAGGGTGACTTTGTTAGAGCCATTGGCGCCACCTGCTGTCAAAGATCAGAATTACAGCTAAAATCTTAAAGATAAAAAAAATCTCTATTAATCATTTCTGGTTAAATGTATGCAAAGAAAATTATTTATTCCAAATAATAAATAACAGAAATTAAATAATCTAAAAACCATTTTAAATTTACAAACTCTGATTGTAGCCTACAGAAAAATGGGACTAATTATAAAAATAATATATTTTTTTTACATTTTCTTCAGAAACAGGTTAATCCTTCGTGTTTTACTTAATCTAGGTTTTGTTAATCTTTTTACACCTTTCCATTTTTTCAGAAACTTTTTTATACATTTTACTCGGATTTTTGGTGAAAAGCCAAAACAAAGTGAGGAGAAACAGAAGAAAAAAATATATACATGATTTATCACTTCCTTTAAAAATCAGAAAATTTGACAAGCATTAGTGTTCAACGAGTTAAAGTGAGTTCATTCTAAGAAATAACTGCAAATATTTTTCATTTCTAAAAAATGTTTTTAACAGGAATTTGCTAAGAAACTGAAATTGTAACTGAAAGGTAAAAATCTCAAGTAAAGATCTTGTTTTTGTTTTTTTCAAAGTTATTTCCTCAAATGTTCAACATATGAGCGGTGAGTTTTCCCTTTGCATCCAACTTTAAAACACAAACAAGTCTTTTCTTTGTTATTTGCATGACAAGCCAGAAAAATTTAACTTTGAACATGTTGAATTTGAGCAATTTGTGTATAAACTCTTGATTTCAACATCTGCTCTTATGAACAGTGGCATCAAGATTGCACACATTATATGTGAATAATACATTCTGATTCTGGTATAATCTCAGACAGATCTCAAGTTAAAAATAAACTGCTGTTGTTTTTTAGACAACAGATTTCATCTATCTTGAAATCCAAAAAACAAAACACTTTTTTCCAATGTAATATTCTAGTCCTTAAAGTTGTTGTGTGATTTTTTGTCAGTTTCCAGTGGTCAGTCTCCAGAGATGGGGTCTCATCTGGGGGCAGCAGGAAGCTCTGCAGGTAAATGAGTTCATGGGTTTGTTTTTTTTTTTTTCTCAATTTGGAGTGCAGCGCATGCCTTGGTAAAGTTTTTTATTATTATGTTGTTATTCGGATTAGTAATTACCATCATTAATGGTTTACTTGTGTTTGGTTGGTAAAACCACATTTCGCCCTGCGTAGCTGAAGCCAAATGTTTGATCAGTATTTAGTTGAAAATTGTTTTAGTGGACACACAGTTTTCTGTTTAATTTAACTCCAATGTATTTACAAATTTACTGATTTGCAGATTTTATTTTTATAGGGTATTTCTAAAATAGCCAAATTATGAAATATCTAGATGCTACTTGACATGCTAGCTGGTGTTCACAAACAGCCAATCCAAGAGCGCCACTGACTTTCATTGGTGCCGATTGGTTGTGAGCCAAAAGTGGACTGTAACTGGTAGCAATGTGCTATTTCTTAGTTTCCACTGTTCATTTTAATGAATGTTAAGGTATGTTTGGTGTTTTAATCTAAAAGTGTCTCTTTTTTTTGTTGTTTTTGAGGTCACGGAGGTGATCTCTCCTCTGTCGATTTAGCAGGTAATTTCTACATTGTGGTTCATCTGTCAGCCATGTTTCTTGAGTCAGGAAACCAAAACAAACCACCTGCTAGTGGCATGTATCACAAAGCACTGCTAGCAACAAATCTTAGGACTGATTGAAAAATATGATGGAAAAAGTATGGCAAGATGGACTTTATTAAAGATTTACTTTCCATAAGAAAACTTTTAATTTGTTCAGTTCAGAGTTTCAGGAGACACGTTGATTCTTACATTTCTGTCTCGCAAAATAAATGTTTCCACTACATCTTACTGCTGTTGTTGCGAGGAGCGGCCATTTTGAAATGGTCAGAATCTCACAAAAGTCAGAATCTCCCATTTCCGACTGCAACTGGAGCACGGCATTAGCATGAGCTACAAACAGTTCAAGTGCTGTTTGTAACACTTGAACAGCTGGAGCTAACATTGTAATACTCACAGCCACCACAAGGGGCGCTGCAACAACAACCAGAGAGGTAGCAATGGCTACATATTATCAAACTCTAATTGAGATGTTTTTTATGTTTATTTTTTTGTACAGCAGCTGGACATCCAAGCAGCTCCTCAGGTAAACAAAATTCACAGTTTCAGTTCATAATAAATAAATCATGAATAATATAAAGATGGCTGCTCACTAAATAACATTTTCTGTGCAAGTCAATTATAAAACATTTCAAATGCTTCTCTCCATTTAAAATCTTACTGAACTTATTCAGTATTATTTTGTTCAACATTTTGACCAGAAAACCTGTTATTGTTCCGCTTCTGATTGCCCAGGTTCTGCAGTTTCTTCAGGTTCTGAAGGCTCCATGGGTTCTGCAGCCTCTGTAGGCTCTGCAGGATCTGCAGGTTTTGTGGACTCAGCAGGATCTGCAGGTTCTCCAGGGTCTGTAGGCTCCATGGGGTTTGCAGGTTCTATAGATTCTGCAGGCTCTCCAGGTTCTGCAGGCTCCATAGATTTGGGAGGATCTCCCGGTTCTGTAGGTTCTGCAGCTATTTTAGACTCAGGAGGACCTCCAGGTTCTGTAGCAGCTGAAATCTCTGGTGTTTCTGCAGGTCAAACTCACCCAGCAGGTAACCAAGAGAGTGTATCTGACTTAAAGCAGGATCATATAAATAAATGTGCTGGTGTGAATCAAGTGCAACTGTTCAATGAAAGTAATTTTTGTTCTTTCAGGATCCGAGCGTCTACCTAGTCCGTCTAAAACAGACATGAACGGTAAAATATCCAATCATTCATGTAAGTCAGCTCACTCTTAGTCCAGAGCAATTTGATGTATGTGGAAATCTGCCATTAGTAGGAGTTAGCCAAGCAAGAGTCTACAACTTTAAATGTCAAAATAATAAAAGATAAAACATCTAAAATGAACTTTAAATCATTTATTACCCACTAACTCCTATTAACCCAATAGATTATTACATTTAGCAGAAGAGCAGGAATAAAACAGACTTTTCAACATTTATGTTTCTCTGGTGTAAAAGTTTTGTTTCCGTTTCAGGTCCTGCTGGGATAGACTCAGAGAATAATGGTGAATTTATTTAAAATTGCTTGAAACACTTTGTTTCATATGGTATAGCTAATTTCATATACATATTGTTGGTTTCATATGGGAAAATAATGCAAATCACTGGAACTACTTAAAGTGCTGGGAATCTCTTAAGGCTAATTTAAACTTGTAATAAATTTTTCAAAAGTGCTTTTTCAATATATATACATATTTGTTAAAAATGTCAACTTTGTTGCTACAGAATAATATAAAACAGATAATCTGTAATCAAATCAAACTCTTTCTTTCTCCCAGTGCTCCCAATAATAACAGCCAAATATACAGAACGTGGTCTGAAACAACCAATCAGAACCAGGAGGAGGATTTTAGGGCTGACAATCACTCTAGTGTATGCTCTGTTCCCACCCTCCACTTACTCTCTGCTGCTCTCCAGTTTTTCTGGGATGATAATTTGTCTCTCCTCCATAAGCACATTGAGCAGCATACGCATGAAGTGATTGGCAGCGCAAAGCTCCTCCTCCTGGCTCTGATTGGTTGACAAACAGTGTTGCATTTCTTCAGACAGATGTAGAGTGAAGATGGAGGACCTCAGTCTTTTCACACATCATTTGTCTCATACTGTTTTCACAAAGTGACAATTTTACCAAATATGAATAAAACTGAATTTTAAAAAAGTTACAAACTTCAGCTTCAAAATCAGTTGAGTTAGTTGTTGTTGTTATTTACAGGTAATGGACAGAAGCTGCTGAACGGTGGAGGGGGTGGAGCCGGAGTCGACAGTCAGACCGGTGAGCAGAAGGTGGAAAAAAAATAATAAAATTAAAATCAGTGAAATTTGAACCAGGGTAGAAAATTTCTATGTACTATTAAAATGACACATTGTTGAAGAGAGGAGATACAATCCATGATTATTCTCCTGGTCTGCAAACATCCACTCTGAAACCAACTAGTTCACTTAATTTTGATTTAACATTACTTTCATATTTGCATAAAACCTTTAAATATTGTGTTTCATCAGGAATCGTCGATCCATCCGGTCATGACTTCCTGCTCAACCTCATGGGTACTGATCTATTAGTTCACTTTCCCTGAAGATTAATATTAAATATATAATATTAAATATTAAAAACTCATCAAAAAGACAAAAACACAGATTAATTTGGAAATTCAACATTAACAGGATTTGTTTTTCAAACGCACCTTTGTATTTCTAACAGGGCAAATACCACAGTTGATCAATTTTCAAACAGCCTATGGTGAAAAAATGTTGAAAGATTCAATGATAGCTAGTAATAAACTAAGTTTATTAAATTTTCAGACGGTAATTTATGCCTGGTTTACAGCAATGCAGAGTTAGTTTTATAAAGAGGCGGATTTGTTTTCAATCTTTAAGAAAAAACAAATGGTTGTTCAGGTCATGTGACGTTCGTACTTTGAGACTTAATGCCCTAAAATCTTTTTCTTTTTATTATTATTTACCTAAATCATATTTTGTAAAGAGGTTATATGTTGTGATTTTACTTTAAAAATGTTTATATCAGGGTTTTTTAAGAGACTTGAGACTAATGATTTGACGTGAACTTGAAAATTATTTAAGAACTTTTAAAAGGCTGAACATGTTTTTACAAAAATACTTTATTGCAATTCCTGTTATGTTAACTTAAGTGAATTGTTGATTTTTGTTTTCAGGCGGTGGTTTGGTGGATTCTTTCAGTACAGATGGTCACATAAATATTCCAGGTCTGATCTCTCAGATTTACCACTGAAGAAAATACTAGAACTCTGAAACTGTGAAACTTGTGTTTTCTTCTGGCAGCTCACCTGACTGCACCGCCTCACCATGACTTCTCAGGCACTGGAGTCACAGCAGCGCCATCTGGTGGACAGAACATCCCAGGCTCGCCTGCAGGTAGCAGTTTCTCCTACAGTTTGTCTTTGATTTTTATTTTACAGTTGGCCTGCATAGTACGGCTGAAAAACTCACAATATAAGCGATTCGTATCAGTCGATATTGATAGTTGTCAGTATTGATAAATACTGATTAGTTTTATTGTTTTAAACATTGCAAATACTGCCAAACATGTGGCATGATCTTTCCTCCTTTCCTCAGTTTTCATTCCATGCCATTGTTTTTTTATTTTTAAGTTTTGAGGCAAAATGGCAAAACATGAAATTGCTGCTGCGCCAGTTACTCAACAGGTCGTTGCTAGGTAACCAATAAGTGAGTGATTTAATTGACACCACCTACTCAGATTTGAGCATTAACGAGTTACATTTACTCAGGTACATTTACTTCAGCTTTTTTTTTTCAATGGACATTTAGGACTATTTTTTACCTGCACCAAAGTAATTTAGTTATGAATTATTTCTAATCTTACTTGAGTAAAATTTCTGTCTTTTCTTCCCGCTGACTGAAAAACAGACATGTTTTAACCAATGATTCATTAGTGCCAGCAGTTTTTGTTAAAGTTTTTATTGGAAGAAACTGATTTGGAAAAAGATTCTCTTGCCTGATTTTATTATTTTTTGCTGCTTATATGAATTATTGTCATTTTTGCCCTTAAAATACCAAAATTTCCACTTAATTTTTTTTTATTTGCAATTATTGATCAGGGTTCAGTGAATCTTCTATTGAATATTCTGTCTTATGTGCAATTGTGATATATATTGATACTGATTCATTGTTCAGCTTTATGTTAGAGTAAAACTAATATTTTTTTACGTTCTTCTTCATGTTTCCTGGTGGTAAAGATTCTTCATATCACGCTGTGGAAAGGGTTGACCAATCAGGCACAGGCGGCACCTCGCTGACATCCGGATCTGACCAATCACTGGCCAGGCCTTTCCCAGGTTCCTCTCATTCTGCAGGTAAGTGAAGGAAAAGATGTTTGGGGTGGAAATCCCAGAAGAACCCACAGATTTTCTTAAAGGAAAATAAGAGCCTGTTTTTGCTCAACATGTTCAGTTTCCTCAACATCTTTAATAGACAATGGCAACGGAGATCACCAGCAGCAGACAAGTAAGAAATTATTTGATGTTATTTTATATTATGTAATTAATTGGTAATTAATCTGTACAACTTGTTCTGTTATTCAGTTTATAATGATTTTATGTATCATGACTCATTTGTCGGCTCTTTTGCAAAGTAAATTGAACATGTATATCCATGTCACGTTTTTAATGAGACATTTCTGATAAATACTGAGTTGTTAGCTGATAAATTTAATTAAATTGAGGTAAAAGGTAGGATCAAATAAGTGTTAACTTCTTCCAGAAAAGTAGTGGCAAGCTAATTATTTTGTTAGCTAATGTATGCACGTTTTCTGTTGTCCTACTGGTTATTTGCTTTCTTTGGTTTTAAAAACTAGTTTGAAATAAATAAATACTAATACTGTTCATGCTCAGATCTGTAGGGTCACTGCAGTACACAAGTGCTGCTTAAATGTCTTTTACTTCTCTGACTTTTCTATTTTTCTCCTCAGATGGAGAAGAATCCCCTGACAATAACGGTAAAATTGTGCTACTTTTTATTTTCTTTTAGTGCTCGGTTGCTAAATACAGAAACCCAAATGATAATTTGATTTTTATTTTCAGGAAACGGCAGGCAGACTGTGCTGACAGACATGATGAACGGAGGTAAATCACTAAATCCTTACCTTCTGTTAGGTTTCATTTTTACAACCAAAACTTATGGTCAGGGTAAGAAAAAAATGTTGATTTTCAAAGTTCTGGTTTCAAGAATGAAGTAATAAAATTATGAGAAGAAATTTGTGTCAGAATAAAGTCAAAATATTATCAAAATAAAATTGTAAAATAATGAAAACTTTGATACATAAAGAGTTTTACATCTACAGTAAAATTACTGATCATCTTGTTAAGTCATACAATGATATTTTGTTGTAGAAATAAGGAATTATGAGCACTAGTTTAAATATAAACTCAGTGGCAAGCTGCTACTGACAATAATCTGATACTGATGTGTTTCTTTATTGTATTTACTTTATTCCAGTAAATTTAAATTTATTTATTCTTGGGAGTCCAAATTTGTGTTTTCTGCAATTTAGGATACGGTAATACAAATATGTTCCACCCATAATATAATATAATATAATATAATATAATATAATATAATATAATATAATATAATATAATATAATATAATATAATATAATATAATATAATATAATATAATCAGAATCAGTTGCACACAATCAAGGAATTTGAATTTGGTTCCACTTTGTTCTCAATGTCGACAATTTAAACTTAGAAATATAAAATATTATAGAATAAAATATATTTTAATATTACATAAAACTAAAAGGCTTTACTGAATATATTTATATACAGTACTTTTACAGAAGAAGAAGATGAGATCAGATCAATGCAAATAAGCAGTTATCTGTATGCTTTTATTTTGAAGATTTTAATTAGTTTTTTTGTCTTTTGCAGGAGTGACGGAAAGAATGGTTTCTCTCCATGATGTTAACACTCAGAGCCTGCAAATGCAAACTGATCTCACAGGTAAACCTGCCGGTTCATTCATATGTGACCACTGTTGGTAAAAGAAAACTAAAGAGGTCGGATCTCTGGTCAACATTAGTGAATAAATTCAGCCTGAATCGCTTCTGGGAGCATCAACACTTCACTTTACAAATAGATAAATGCTTTATTCACCTGTAATTATTCCTCTTTTTATTTGATACATATATGTATTGAACATGTCGCTACATCTGTAGCTGCATATTTTTTAAATAGTTGTGTTACTGTTTAATTAAAAAAGGCCTTAAAAATGATAAATGATCTATAATTAAAACAGTGTTGATTCTGACCATCCTTCACTATTAGAATGACATCATTCATTCATTCATTCATTTTTAACCAGGTTTGTCTTATTGAGCTCTTACATCTCTGTTGGAACGGAAATATGTATGACGACGGATTAGGCCATAAAAGATAGAAAGAAAAAACAAAGTAAATTTCAGTAAATTTCTAGAAAAAAAAAGGAAAATTTGAGATTGATCTTGGAAATTTTCTATAAAAATAAAAAAGGAAATTTCTGAGTTTCAAAAGTTTAAAATTTCCTAAAAAAAATCTGAAACTGAGACTCATCTCAGAAAAGTTCTAGAAAAACGTGAAAATTTCTAAGAGTGACGCATTGAAAATTTGCTAGAAAAAAATCTGAAATTTTGAGATTCGTTAAAAAAGCATGAAAATTTCTGAGTTAAAAAAGTCAAAAAATCTTCCATAACAATAACAATGAAATAAAACTTTTGCCTGCAGGTGGATCAGAGTCTGTCACTCATCTTCATGTTGAGTTCTTAAGTAAGTTTCACCAATAAATGAGTCCAGCAGATAATTCCAATACCTCATTGATAAAACTGAATATTTTCATGTTCTGATCCAGACTCAGGTCTTGGCCGTGATGTCACAGGTACAGATTAGAGCGACAGCATAATAAAAGACAGTGATCGATTGACTTTTCATTTTATGTTGAATGATTTTGTTGCAGAGTTGTCTCCCATCACTTTAAGCATAGAACCTGCAGCTGCCGTCACCAACACGCTGAGCCCAGGTACACCTGTCTGTTCACACACCTGTCCGTTCACACACCTGTCTGTTCACACACCTGTCCGTTCACACACCTGTCTGTTCACACACCTGTCCGTTCACACACCTGTCTGTTCACACACCTGTCTGTTCACACACCTGTTCGTTCACACACCTTTTCGTTCACACAGCTGTCTGTTCACACACCTGTCCGTTCACACACCTGTCTATTACTGCATCTCTTCCCTTTTCCAGTTTCAGGTGTTTATTCCAACACAGATCAGGTTACTGCGACAGCAGACTCCACGGGTACAGACATAGGTAAGGCTCTCAGCATTCAAGAATCATTGCCATAGTATCAGATTCCAGGTCAAAGGTCAGACATGTCAGTAAAGTGCCACTGTGTTTTAGTTACAGCACATCCAACAGGGACTCCATTTGACTCCAGTAAGTTGTGTTTAATTTTTGAAGGCAGGCGCTTTGGTTGTATGTTACTGTTTTGCTTCCTGCAGCATATTTATGTGGATGTCTTTCTCTGCGTGGACATATAAACGCATCTATATTTCCAGTTCAATGTTTTTTGTTTTTGTTTGTTTGTTTTCAGGTCATCCAGTGGGGACAGATCACTCACAAATGGCTGGTAAGTTTAATATTAAAGATACATCAACGGGAACTTTCTGGTTGATTTCAGATCTCCATCTGGTTTTTGGGTTTTTTTCCATAAGGGTTTGACCAATTCAAGTAACCTTATAATTTTTAAGATATCATTTAAAATCCTAACAGGTATTTATTTTGCCATAGAGATATATCTGTTACCCCCAGACAACAGCAGCAAAATATGTGCTTTCCTTTTATTTTTATTTTAGCCATTTTAAGGGCAATTTATGTACTAAAGTCCATAGTTTTCTTATTTAAAAAACAAATAATGTAAATGACATATTTTTAACACTTATTTGTTATTATTGTTGCAAGACCTAAATATTGGTCTTTGATTGACAGAGACATTAATTTTGATGCATCTTAGTTTATTTTTCTACAATGTTAAATTTTAAACCTTTTAATAAAAAAAGGGCTGAAAAAAAGCTAGTTTTACTTCTTCTATTTTTATTGAAACATTTTAGATTTGAAATAATTAAGCCTGAAATATGCAAATGAAGTATTAATTTGGGATTCAACCCATGCAAAAGCCAATATGTCTGCATAGTATTTTTGTTTTTCTTAAGAGATGTTTTTCACCTAATCTAAAAATGTTTTACACACATCATTATCCAACATCAACAGTGATAAATACTTATTTCAGCAGCATTACTTCCTTGCAGAAAAGAGTAAAAAATGTGAAAGTTGGTGCATAGCGCCATCTGGTGGGCAAATATAAATCGTACAAGTTGATTGGTATTAGTTTAAGTTAAGATAAATGCGGGATGAATAATGGCCTCTATGTATTATTCAGACATTGGTACATTTATATCTTTAGGAACAAATGTTTTTGTGTAGCCATTTTGACCATTTCCGTTTCCAGCTCAGGATTCAGGGAAGAGGGATCAAAATGCACAGTTCACAAATAAACGTTCTTGTTCTGAGATGGTGGATTTTTTTGTATACAGGGCGAATAGCTGAGATGTTAGTGGTTTCTGTTAGTGTCTTCGATCAGTTGCTTAAAGCTTGTTTGTTCTCTTTTCTTGGTTGGGCTTGTCCTCTGCAGGTTCAGTCACTGAACAGTACAACCCATCTGGTCAGGGTCCTGAAGGTTAGTAACGCCCGTCTCATTTAAACTAGTCACCTTTGAACTCTGCTCTTTCACTTTCACAAAGTATTTACACCCCTCGATCCTCTTTACAGATGATAAAACTTGATTGTACATATTTATGTAGTAGGGAACTGACTTATATATAATTCTTGTTTTTGCAAATATTACATTTCTGTTCTCACAAACAATTTAAGCTGCAGAACATCTGTATTTGTATAGATATTGAATTGTCCACCAGTCCACTCTAATTGGTTATTAGGTGAGATTTATTGGATTTTATTTAGTGGAATCAGAGTATTTTTTTATTTTTGTAAAGAATAATGTACTTAACTATTATGTATTTTGTGTTGCTCTGTTATGCAAAATCCCAAGAAAATGGAAACTGGAAGGGTTTTTTGATATGTGATTTTAAAAAAAGATACATTACTGATTATTCTTTAAAGTGTTAAATTGAAATAATGTAATTTCTATTTAACATATTAACAAAAATCTCTCAACAGGTCATCAAAATCCACTCCTACATTTTCCTTTAAGAAACTTTGTAATATTTTCCTGTAACCCTCTTTAAAACTACTTGAAAAAGCAGAATACAAAACATAATTTGAGAATTAATTTTCCTCTTCAATTCTTAACAGTTTTATTTTTGTTTGTGGTCATTTATTTGACCAATAACATGTCGGTTACCTTCAGGCTCACCAAAGCTAAATGTTTACGAATGTTTGTTTTTATTCATAAAACTTCATCCTTAAATCAGATTTTGTGGACTGAAACTGTATTTGTGTCTCAGGTGCTGAAAATGTGGAATTGGAGGATACCTGCTGACTTCCACATGAAGCCCCGCGTGCGGTTTATCCGTTTTCAAATCCCGTGTACCGACCAATCAGCATGGCCCAGGAATTCTGACTCCACCCACTAGTTGTAGAGCCCACCCCCCAACAAATGAGAAATGTTCCCTTTTGTTGTTTAAATATTTAAAACACGAATGTTTGTGGACGTTTATTTTTGTTTTAGACCATCTTTGGGTCCGCTCCTTTATCTACCACTGGGGCACGATCCGGCTAGACGGGTCAATAATTATTGACGAGATAAGTGTGTGAAAAATAAAGAAAAATCACTTGCTGGTCATTTCCCAAGCTGGAATGTAAACATGACAACTCATTACTTGCTTCGCATCTTTTTTAAGTGCGTTTGAAAACTTGAGTCGCCACCAGCGGGTGGTGAAGAGCCACTTAAAGGGGAATTAAATTAATAAGAATAATTCAGGTGAATCTCTAATCGCGTCACACAGGATGTGATTGTAAATTGTGGTTTGAACTTCAACAATAAAAGTTACATCTATTTTGAACATCAAACTGTTGCCTTTTGTCCGACTACATTGCAGTGAAATAATAACTCGCTGTGCAGCTGTGTTTAAAACAATTTATTGAACAAAAGTTTTGCAACCAGAATACTTCAAACATTCGACCCTCCTCTTCCCAACAAGTAGAGAGCCGTCAAAAAAATTAAAGAGGGATGGCTTGTTTGTTGGAATTAAACGCAAAAATCAAATAAAAGTCAATATATTATTCACCGCGGATTTTACATGGCAGAGCTTCCTGTCTGTACAGCGTCTGACAAACCTGTAGCGCATCTGAGGACCGACGCATCAGGACATCAGGAGCCACCTCACTGTCAGAGACTTGTGCTTGATGCATTTAAACTGAGAATTTATTGTAGATCAGATCCAATCATCTGAAAAGTATAAATCAAGTCACTCATTTGTGATCTATATTTTTGTTTCATATGCATTTGATAAGGAGCAAGTGATTTGCTTAACGTGGTTTTGTTTAGATTATTGTGGCTTACACCGAATTAAATCCCAAAATTCAGGTTCTCTGAAAATGTGAATGTGACAGAAACAGTTTTAATCCAAACATATTATGTTGATCAAGCCTAAAAATGGAAAGTTGGGTAGAGGGAAAACGTATGGTGGAAGGTGTACAAGCAACATAAACTAATACAGGTGCAATAAGGAAGAGAAGCAAAGTCTAAGAGTCTGCTTGAGATTAATTTCAGAGAACTCAATGATTTTATCTGCTGCTAAACTTCAAGTTGATGATTTTATTGGAATTTAGTCAAAACTGACCTCACCCTCACAGAGAATCTACCGGGTTCTGTCAAGATGCAGATGAAATGCCAGACCCAACAATACAGATAAGCTGAAAACCAAGTTTAAAACATCACCAGCACCTCCATGCTACACCGCATTGATGCATTAATTCATGCAAAATGAGTCTCAACCAGTTACCAACTGCAGATGTTGTTTCAGTTTCCCTGAACTTCAGGAATTAGACTTCCTGTTTTTAAATTGTAACTTAATATCCTGAGAACCTGAATTTTTGTTTTCCATTAGATGTTAGCCACTGGAAATATGTGTAAAGACTACTCATTAGTTTATCTGTTTGAAGTGAACCAACCTTTCAATAATTAAGTTATTAAGATTTGCATTTGTTCACACCTGACAGAGTTTTTTGAGGCTAAACCTCTAGAACAATGGTGGAGTGTTGATGGAGAAGTTAAGAGTGAGGAAAATGTGGTGTATATTCTTCACTAAAGTTGCAATCTTATGTTTTCTTAATGTGCAGCCCTTGTGTCAAACCCACATCTTTGCTATTGAAATATATTAAACCTGCACAATCCCAGCCAAGCTTTCCTTATACATTTTTACATTTTAAATAAAGTGACTCAACTTTAAGCTCTAATAACCCTTCAGAAGCTGAAGTTGGAAGTTCATTCAAATAAAACAAACGTGAGTATAAAAGGTGAATCCATGCTTCAGACTGTGAGTAAAAACAATCTCGGATATGTTTCATTAAAACTGAAACGCGACACCTGATGTCCTGAAGTAAGTTTTTGCCATAAATCTGTTCTGGTTCTGGCAACACTGGACCCAACAAAAGTACCATTACACAGAAATGCCTCCACTCTAAACTGACTTTGGAAAAAATGTAGGAAACTGATGGAGCTGCTGACAAACTAATGCGTTTTAGACCAGACAGAGAAACCTTCTAAGATAACAAACCTCTTGTTAAAAGTTTTTCATCTTATTTTCGTTTTGGAGATACTTTAATTTTCTGTCAAAACTCCAGCACTGTCAGGAGTAGGCATGGGCCGGCTACCGGTATCAGAGTCTACCAAGGTTTTAAAAAGCTGCGCTTCCAAAAACCGTTGAAATTTTCCATCATTTTGTTCCTTCCTAAAAGCTCAGAAAAAAACAAAAAGGGCAGAATTTTCTGACTTATTGCTGCGCTCTCCTGGTCATCTATTAAAACTTTTTCCACTCGCAAAAACACTGACAAAAGCTACAATATTCAGCACAACAAGCGTTTCAGAAATCACAAAAACAATCAAGTGTTTTATTCTACATTTCTGCTTAAATCTAAGTATAAAAATCTAAAATAATCCATAACTTTTGCTGATAACGTAACAGCAATTTTAGTAGCAGGAGGGATATTTGCAGACTGATCGTGTCATACATGTTTGTGTACATACAGTGATACAGTAGCATTTTTCACACAGTTAAATTGTCGTAGCGGCCCATGCCTAATCAGGGGTCCAGCGTTAGAAAATACGCAGGAAACCTCAGGAAAGGTCTGGATCGAAGCGTTTCTGTCTGATGAAACAGGAGGAGGATAAACACTCTGCAATAAATTCTTCCAAAAATATTCCGATCCTCTTCTTTATGTTTAAATTATACACGTGAAAACAAATACAGCCATCAAATGTGACTTAAACATGCAACGCGGCGATCACCAGGGTCACATGATCCCGACATCACGCGCTGTGCGACCGCCTCCAGATCTGTCCAGCAGGCGCATGTGACCCGGGTTTGCTTGCTTTTTTTTCTTACTTTTCATCTTTTTTTTTTTTTTTTTCACAAGCTACAAAGAAAGGTTTTGATTTAGGTGGCAAACACAAAAATAAAACCTAAAATAAAAATCCTAAAGTATAGAAATGGATTAATATCGATTAATAACATCTGCCTGATAAAAACATGACATCTGACCTAATGATTGATCTACAACCCATCGATTTCTTCGTCGTCGTCTATTGCTGCTGCTGACCTGCTGCCTGGTGTCATGTTGTTACTGAGGAGTCATTACATTCTGCAGGATATTAGAGGTTAGAGTCCAGTTGGGAGGGGCTCAGCAGGACTTCCGGCGGATCGTCGCCAGCCACCTCCGAGCTGAACAGCGGCTCCGTCTCGTACTCCAGGAGGGACGGGAGGTCGGCGTCGCCCTCTCCCAGGACCACCGGCTCGGTCAGGTGGAGAGGCGTGGCGGTGTACTGCACCAGCTGCTTCCCTGCGCAAATCCGAGGAGACACGGTCACAGTCACGACAGCAGGGCGTGGTGCGAGCGAGGGGAAACGGTGGTTACCTGTTCTGTCTTCACTTTCTTTAGGGGCTTCGTCAGACAGCAGCTGAAACGAAACAGTTTCATCAATCAAACATACAGATGATCAATTCTGATTTTTTTTTTTTTTTGGATGAAATTCATTTTTGGGGGGTTCATACTACTAACTAAAATAGATACGTGATCAATACCAATTGATTACACATATGATAGAATAGAATATTTGGTAACACTTTATTTAAAGGGGTGCATATCAGACTAACATGATGCTGTCAGGAACATAATGAAGTCTTCATGGATGTTTATAACTGTTGTCTTGAAGTGTTATTCGGTAAAAAATGACACTTCAAATGCAAAGTTGCATTGGAAGTGCATAAAAACTGCAAAATTAGGATTTTTTTTGGACAATAATAAAATTTGTTTTGCAAAGCTGCATGAAAAATCCACAGTCAATCATTCACAAAGACTCGTTCATGTTTATTACAGTGTCATGTCCGTCTTATGCACAATAAAATAAAATGTTACTGAATATTCTACATATGGAATCTATCAAAATGTATGATCCATTTATATTGATCACCTGTCTATTGTGATGTATTGTTAAAGTGTTGCCGAATGTTCACTGAACTTCGATTCAGAACCGCACAGCATTCTGGGAGATGTAGTCAGCAGAGAGAGCTAGCTAGGTGCAATCGGCTAACTGACTCGCTCTATGGTTACCTGGCAACAACCTGTTGCGTAACTTCTGCAGCAGTAGTTTCACCTGAAAGCATATGTACAGGTGACATTCTGGATTTCAACTTACATTATCCAAACTTTCGATGTCAAAGTCTGCAGAGGGAATGGATGAGCTGAAGAACTGAGACACAAACAAGTCAATTAATTCATGCACGTACTGACAATTTAAGGCTCGCGGAATTGAATAAATGAATTACGACCAAACTCACCTCCATGAGGGGAGAGGGGTCAAAGGTGAAGGTTTGAGAGTTCAAAATACCCTGCAGGTTTTCTAAACCGTTGTCAATACTGTCGACGTGATCGGAGAGTTCGCACCTGGGACACAACCAGAGGGAGAGCGACACCGGCGTGAGATGACCTGTCAGGTCTGATCTTATGCTGCATTTTTCTTTTGCCCACATGGAGAAAACAGTGCATTTCTCAATACCACCAAACTTCTTTTCAGCAACTTATCAGTTTCAAGTTTGTGATCCCTCACCTCAGATGTGTCTGCTGAAAAGGAGACTTTTTAAAGGTGACCTATTATGCTTCCTTCAACAAGTTAGGATGAGTCTACTGTCAATACAGAAAACTGTTGTTTTCTTTCAGAAAATGTTTCTGAATGGGTCTCTTGTACCTTTAAATCCAAATAAGCCGCCCCCAAATCAATACTCTCTCTTAAAATGGCTGCAAACAGATGCGCAATTATACAACCTTGCATCTTTGAAAAGCAACCAACAAGAACACAGGAAGTGGCTTCACTTCAGCAACACTTGTCTTTCCCAGCAGCCATGGTGCAGCGCATACAGCAGTAAAACCAGCCGACCAAAACGTGCTGGAGCTCAACTTGGGCTGCTAGTTTGACGAGTGGAGTTCCTCAGAGGTTGCTCTGTAACAGGCGGGGGTCTGTTAGCTGGCGTCACTGGCTGATTATTAGGGAAGGTTTAGAAACGGCTCATTTTCCAGACACCACAAAATGTTAACTTGTTGACAAAAATCAGCTGGGTGATTTTTTTTATAGTGACTTGGCTGTTTTTAGAAGTCAGACTAAAGTGGAAGCATAAAAAAATGAAAATAGTGAATTATGCATAATAGGTCCCCTTTAAAACGTCTTAAGAACACAATCTAGGAGTATCACCGTCATCTCAGAGGAAAAAAGAGAGGAACACAACTAAACTGCAAAAAAACCTGGATTTCGCAATTAAATGTTGATCAAACTTATAAACAGTTAACGTATTTTTCCTGGATATTGATTATAAAGTGGCGCTCAGAACTGTCATACTCCCCACTAAAAATATACACTGCTGTTTCTTCTCCCATTGAGACAAAAAGGAAAATGCAGAATAACACCAGACATGTAGATACTCATGTTCAAAAACTTCAGAAATCATCATAGACTTTATATAAAAGAAAGCTGTAGCCGAAAGTGATGTCATTATAATTGTAGGCTAAAATTTTCTGAACAAGAAGTTGGCAGATAGCATTTTGTTTAGCGACAGGCAGATCTTAGACACCCTCAGAATCACTGCAAAGTGAACGCATTGGTCAGGTTCATTTTATGTAACTGCAGGGGGAAAGGCTAGGCTCCATCTTTTACATACAGTCTAGGATAATCATTTAAAGATTCACTTCTCAGGATGTTTCGATAGGATGCGCCAAACATCAGGTGTGTGTCCACCTGCAGGCGGTGGGGGGAGGAACCTAAGAGAAGCACAAGGATTTTTAATGAAACACTTGACAATTATCTGATAATAAACGTAACAAGAGCTGGTATGTTGGGATTGTAATGCAAATAGACGGTCACAAACAAGAAACACTAAGGAGGCCGGGCATTTACTGCAGCTGCTCCCCTGATGCAGCGATGTACACCAAAGATATCTGACTGCATTTGCTGGTAGGCAGAAAATAGCTAACGTTGGCAGCTGGTTAAGCAGATAGTGTTGCAGTGTTATGACTACTGATGGGTTTATTATGTGAAAGGGTTGAGGCAGCTCTAAGCTCATCAGCAGGCAGCAGTAGCTGACAGAGGTTAGCGGCCAGCAGCACTTCCTGCTGTTGCCAATGGATTTCACAGTAACCTGTCGAGTCGGGCGATGGTCTGGCATTTCTGTTTAGGTTTGGCGGGGCTTGGGACAGAGGCGGAGTTTGAGCTGGAAACAGGAGCCGGAGCTTTGACAGCAGAAGCCGACTGAACAGGCCCGGCGGAGGCGGGGCTTGTCACAACAGGCGGAGCTGAAAAACAGAGAGACAGACGGTCAAACTGGGAGAAAAAGTAAAGAAAGAGGTCTAGTTAAACTTTGTTTAGAAAATTCAGTACAGAACCACGAGAAATAGGGGTGCATCGCCTGCGGTTTTCGGGCCGATGCCAATCAAAGATCTTTAAAAAGCCTCACCAGCCAATTCCAATTTTGGCTGTTACAAATATTTAGCAATATTTCAGACATTTTTTTGTCTGAATTGTCACTAAATATAGTTGCTGAGTTGGTAACAGTTAATTCCAAGCATGCAGATGACCTGGGGGGCCGGTCTGTCAGTCAAACCTGTTTCATGGAAGAGCAGAAGAGGGGAGTGGTTGATTTTTAGACCTTTGCTGAAGTAGATAAGATTGGTGGATAAGATCAGCTTCACATGTAATTATCAGCCGATCACCAATTTCCTAAAATTAAAGATACTGGTGTTAATAAATTGGCTGGCCGATAAATCAGTGCACCCCTAATATGAACTTTTTCTTGAACTTTTTCATGTATTAACTTGTTGGAACCACAAATTAAAATGAATTTCATTGGAATTTAATGTCATAAAAGAAAAATGAAGATAATGGTAAAAAATAATAATAATACTTTTTTAGAGTCCATATAATCCAGTTAACGATTATGTGATTACTAATTTAGTTGATAATTATTTCACTAATTAATTAATGACAATCCGATTAATCGTTTCAAATTTTAGCAAAATACATTAATGAAACAGTTAAAGGGGTGTGAGTGCTTTTATCACCATGGCTACCTGCTGGGGTGATGGTGGTGGTAGCTGTGGTGGTGGTGGTGGAGGTGGAGGAGGAGGTGACCTGCGGCAGCTGCGTTTCCTCCTGAAGGATAGAGTTGATGAAGGTGGTGGGGGACAGAGGCGTATCAACGTTTGCCGGGAGTGAATCCTGCTCCACCTCCAGAACAGGACACTCCTCCACCTCAGGACTGCATGGCTCCTCTTTGATAAAAGTTGATTGGTTCTCTCTGCAGACATAGAAGGAGGTCTTGCACACATCTGCATGAACAGGGTGGAATAAAGTAAATTAGTCTCATTGGTCCTCACTCCAGGTCATTCCAGTCAGTGGCTGCGTCCTCTGGGGAGGACGGCGCTTCCTCTGTGATGTCCGAGATGATCGGTCCAGAATTCAGGGGTGAATCCGGTGAGAGGAGATTGGCGGCTGCGTTCTGAAAGGACAAGCAGACACATCAGCACAATCAATGATGGTCAATGCCTAATTTCTAACGGCCTTTAAGTAGCAGCATGTCACACCTGAACGTCAAAACTGCTCCAGAAAAATTTATTTTTACTAATACATAGTTCCCACAAGTCTGAATCGAAAGTGATCCGCGCCATCTTAGTAAGCACAACGCATAGCAACCCATGGCTTTGATGCTAACAAAAAGAAAATATGTGGACCCTCTTGACTAGTGTGTTGAGCCAATGCAGCCCTACTTCACGGTATTTCCACCACACTAATCATGGTTCTCCAACATGAGCTGCAATACTCCTAGATTTATCCACAAAACCTATATTTCAGACATTTTTCAATATTTTCCATCACCGGTACAAAATTAGATGAACTACCTGAATGTGCTCCAGTGTCAGGGGTCGGCTGTACTTGGGCATAGAGTGGGCGGAGCTAGAGTCATTGAGCATCAGAGGTCTGCAGGTGGAGATACAAAAAAAATAAAAACTTCAAATGTGATCATAAAATCTAAATCTGTGTCAAGACAATCACGTTTCATATCTAACAATCTAAATTATTAAAATAATATTTTCAGGAATTTAACTCAATCTAGAGTTTACAGTAAGTTGAATTAGTATTTCTATTCAGGTTGAGGTGTGAAGATGTATTAGAAGAAAACTTGCATCTTCCTCTTGACTCCCAAGATTCGGTTGGTCTGGACAAGAGACACCAGAAAATGGATCAGCTGAAATCAAAGAGAGTTCATTATTAGTGCACTCAGTAACTTTATTAAACTGTGATAATGTGGCTCAGTGCCCACATTATAATACTTACATAGAAATGAGACATACACCAGGACTGACTGCTGCTCTTCATTTTTCCTCTTAAGTATTTATTAAACTAATTTTGTGTTTTATTACCTTGTTGACAACTTTCTGCTGCTGCGCATGTTTCTGTCTCAGACTGGCCACCTCCCTCCATAAAGCCTCATTCTCACTGAAACAGAAAAACATCGGGCTTAACAAACGGAAGGTGAGCTGTTGACAGAAAAAACTTTTCAAAATCATTTTGACAAAAAGAAAAAAGATTAGTGACCTAATTTGTAAGACTTGGGAGTTTTGAATCACAGGATAGGAACAGTTTTTGCTTACCAGCTTGTGTGGGACAAGAGGATTTTACTTTATTTTATTTTTTCAGTGTAAAGGTGTGAACAGATTGCGATTCTTACTGTTTCATGGCGATGATCCTGGAGTCGATGGTTTCCTGTTTACCCTTCATCAACTGAACGTCGCTCAGGATTTTGTTGACTTCGTCTGTCGACATCTTCATTTCTTCTTGACGGACTGATGACACCTGCAACAATTTTGCGGGATTTTTTGTTACCGTGGAGACGGGAGAAACTGGCAGCAGGAGTGTGTCACCATATTACTATGCATTTGTGGGTGGTTGGTAAACACTGTAAAATTCGAGTGTTTTCAAGGTAAACAGAAAAGAGAGGAGGGTATTAGAGCAAAAATAAACTTTGATCAATTTTAGGTATTTTCTGAATACTAGATACACGGATGACATTTGTCTTTCCTCTTTGGCATTTGTCCACCGGTCTTTAGTATTTATCCAAACTTTGACTTTGTACAGAATTTGAGCTATTATCATTCAGCAGAGATTATTCTTAATTATAAGACCTGGTCTATGTGAAATCAAAGTTTTACAGAGTCGTGAACTTTACAATTTTGCCACTGAGAGCTGCTCAGAAGCCAGGAAGTTAATGATCTCTAAAGTGGTGTGTCCAGGTGTATCTGCAGTTACTTACGTTGGTGACTTTTCGTTTGATGTGCTCCAGCAGGTGCTCCTGCCCTCTGACGAAAAATGGATGTTGGAACTCTGTGTCATCTTTCTCTGGTTTCACCAAGCCGCCCTGCTCGATGTGCACCACTTTACGGAAACCATCTGCAGAGCAACGTCAACAGAGACTTTGAGCATTTCAGCCATAACTCCAAAGAATCTGGCAGCATCACAATTAAAGAACTTGTTAGATGGGATTCTTTCTTAGAGGATCTGATGCTTACACATGTTGAGCTGTCGAATGAAGCTGGCCATGTTGTTGTGTTTGAAGAACTTTGGTAGAACTTCCTTAGAGAACCGACATTGATCAAAAACATGGAAGCTGGTTCCACTCTGAAGAAAAAAGGGAAAAAATACAGACAGGCAAATTATATCATTGTTACGAGGAGCAACACTAATATATATTCCAAAAGAACAGAACAAAAATTATCCACAACTCCTCTATATTACAACCATAAATAAACTTTTCTGAAAATATGTATTTGTTGTTTCCTATGAAGCATATAATAACTAACAACTAAAAATTGCACACAATGTCTTAATAAATGGGTGTCCAAAATGCGGCCTGGGGGACTGATAATACAAATTTGGCCTGTTGATGAAGATGGAGACTTTTAAATTGTCATTTTGTTGCAATGGAAATGTAACGTACAACACAAAGCGTTTGTCTTTTTCTAACCAAGTTTTAACAATAAGTGAAACCAGGTATATTCAGAGATTTACAAAATCACCTTTTTCTTATCAATAATTTAGTTTACAAAAACTTTATAATTCACTTCATTTGTTGTTTCTGTTGTTTTGTTTATTTTGGATATTCAAATTGTCTTCCAGTTCCAGTATTAAATATTCATTAGAAATCAACACTCACAGATGTTCTCCAACCAATATAACAGAGCTAGGAATATTTTGCAAAAGAAAAATAAATGTAGTCCCTAAATGTGGGTCTACACTAAGTAACTGAAGTTTGACAGTGTGAGTTTCATTTTGTACATTTCTTAAATTTAGTCTCCTCAGTTCCTTATTTTTGTGAAGCTGCATGCTTTGCCTTGTCTAACCACTCTTGCTGTTAGTAAACTTGAATTTCCCCACTAAGGGACAATAAAAGATATTTCTATTGTACTCATGAGCACTAAAATAGGTACCAACCATTTCTCACGAGTAAAAGTAGATAGTAAACTACAAGGAGCAAAAGCTGAAAGGTACACAACACCACGAGACAATGACAAAATAGTCACATAACTGATACTTTGTAAAGGTATATCTTTGTGTAAAATTAAATGTAAATTTGGGTCACGTATTTTTACAGGCGTTAATGTAAATTGCTCATCATAAATTTCTGCTACATCAATTTTTCAGCTACACACTTGTCTTCTGTATTTCAGAATAAACGCATTGGTTTGTACAGCCTAAAGTACAGAAAACTAACAATTTTGTGAGCAATTTAATACATTCGATCACTTATAAAACAAGTATACCTACACCTCAGGATATGCGATTTGTAAAAAATATATATTATCAAAAAACAATTATTTTAAGACCAGTAAACCCAAAAATGTAGCGCTAATCAACTTAACACTTTACAAGACTTGGATTTAATTTCCTAAAAGCTAACGAAATACCCTGCTTAATTAATTTGCCTCACGATGCAAGGTTAGCATAATTAGCATCACTTAACAAAACAAAGTCCACAAATAGTGTGTCCTGTTCCAAAAATAATGTCTGAAATCTGTTGTTTGACAACTCTAATGAACCCGTGTGGAGTTAGCTTTACCAGGCTAGGCTAGACTAAGCTAAGCTAGGTGTGGTGAAGTGAGTACCGGGCTCCAGCAGATAAGAGGGTCCGTCTCCGGGTCTTCCACAAGCGTCCACAGTTTAGTAAGAAATGCCGGGACGTTACCACCGCTCACCACCACTCCACCTGTTCCTCCGCCAACTCCAATAAACTCCATCTCAACTACTAAATGCTAACCCCGCTCCGGGCTCCAGTAGCTTATCTAACCGAACGATGCTAACAGCTAGTTAACCCCATCCGCTCCTCAAAGTCCAAAACAAAAAAACAGATGAACTGCGAAACGTAGCCCCTGAGAGATCGCAACTATTTCTCGAAAAGCTCCGTTCCGGTTTTGTTTTGGTATATTATCCTCCAGTCTACACGGTACTTCTAAACTATATTGTAAACAAACTCCGTAGTGGAAAATTCCAACAAATCCGATAAAGCAAACAACTGCGTAGCTAGGTGGCTGTCTCTCTGTCGCATACCGATGACGTCATAAGAAAACCTCATGTCACGTCCGCGATGTGGATTTTTCATAATTAACAAAAATAACAGATTCTAAGGGTTAAATCGTATTTATATTTCTTTGGGTGTGATTTTTCCAACATAATTTCTAACACTAGTGTAACTCTAATTGATCATATTTTTTACAAATGAAACAGGAAATCCTGTCTACACCAGAGTCCTAATAGACAATATAAGTGATCATTTACCTATTTCATTGCACAACACAGTGAAATAAAGGAAAAACTGTCATATGAAGAATTTTAAAATAAGGCCAGACAAAAAATAATGAAATAATACCCTGTTAAAGCAAAACTGAAGTGGTGTGAATGTGGTTTATAATATTTTTAATATAGCCTGTCAAACTGTTTGGTATTAGAAAATAATGGCTTAAACATGTTACGTTCTTCTCTGATGATTTGAACAATACTTTCAACATCTATCAGAAACAACTACCAGAAAACACAGTAAGCTTTTCAGGTTACTGTGTTTTCAGCACTGGGTGTTTTTAAACTATTACAATATTGTAGGACTGTAAGTGCTCAAAATAACCTTTTATTCAACATCTTAACCTGATGTAGTTCACTAAGACTTTGAATGTGTTCATTACAATTTATTTGTATGTCTATAAACAAAATCCTGTCAAGCTTGCACTAAAAACACTTATCATGTCAGGCATGTGGAACAAGTGTGAAACGTAACTATAAAATATATTTTTGCAAATGTACATGTTCACATTTCTTCCATTTGCAATACCTGCATTTGAAAACAAAACATAAATATCAATTTAAAATTTCAAATATACACATTTTTAAAGAGCCTCAGTGAAAACCTGTTTATGTGTTGTTAACTCTTAGGTGCAAACCTGACTGAAAATCGATTTATTCACTGCATGTCTCTGTTTGTTTTAGGGTTGAGATGGAGCAGCACATAAAAATGTCTCTTTATTAACCATTTAGACAACCAAAAAAATACACACACAATCAAAACTGTCAGATGACTTTATTAACCTGTGAAAATAGTCCAAATAGTTTGGATGTAATTTTTCTTTTTCTTTCTTTCTTACAGAAAGTTTGTGTTTATATTTTATAAGGGATGGAAACAGATGGAAAACCCATGTTTGGCCTGTTTTTTGCATTCTGCACGTAGTTTTATTTGTGGTGCATTTCTTACAGAACCCCCTAGCAGGTATAGAGGATTTTTTTTGTATTACCTTGCAAAAGGTTTTGCATTCTCTTCCAATAATGTACTGATCAGTTCCTGCAGCAGAATTGCACACTGAACGTCTTTCTTAGGGTGGCCATCGCACTTTCTGTTATAAGGTTTTTCCATTTATTGTTAATATCATTTGTGAGATATCTGACATTTTATATATTTTTCTTTAGGATAGACCAAGAAACACAAAAGAAAAAAATTTCCCATATTTCTTAGGGGACTCCGTATTATTAATTAACAAAGTTATAAATACCGACAAATTATCTTATGATTTACTTCAAACAAGTTTTTATTATTAGAATAATAAAATTGTAATATTTGTTTATTCAAGGCTTATTCTCTTCTTCCATTTTGGCTTTTCCTGTCTAGACACTACATGTTCTTTTTTCCTGTCAAACTTCATTAGGAAAAACAAAATGTCACTTGACTCACATCAAGTGGACAAGAAGATGTGAAGAATTACAACTTGAAATGAACAGAAGACAGCTTGAATAGTCCAGTAGTTTCAAACTGTTGACACAACACACCAAATTTAAGCTGCCTAGCAACATGTTTACAACTCAATTCAATTCAAAAACACCTTATTGTTTACAAACGGGAATTGAAAAATGCAAACAGCATACAAAATATTTTGCATTTTAGAATAACAAAATATTTCTAAGTCTTCTCAGTCTTATTTTTCACCAATGACCAACCTAAAGCTCTGTTCATGCCAAGAATATTTTTATACCTGGGACAGTTTGTACAAGAAATGCTGCCTCACTTTGGACTAATTGAAGTTGGTTTAGATGTTTCTCTGGACCAAATGTTGCAATACTGCAAGTGAGATAAGAAAGTGTTAGTGATGAGACAAAAGGCAAGTCATTGGTGAAAATGGAAAACAATAAAGGTCCTCAGCAACAGCCCGGTGGAACTGCACACAATTCTTTTAGAAATTAAAAACTGCTATTTTAAAGTATCGCTTCAGCTGAGATGCATAACTAGCAAGAAGTACTTAAATGTACAAATATACAAATAAACAATTTTAGTCCTTAGTTTTATCTGACAGAAAATTGCAATCAAATAGGTCAAAAGCAGAACTCAGGTCTAACAGAACAGCTCCATCTACTGTATGTTACTAATCTTCATTAACCACGGCACTCAAAAATTTCTAACATTGTACTGTACTTTATCGGGAGATATTTACTAGTGAAGCCATGTTGTTAGATTTTCAAAATTCAATTCTGTCTTGTTTGCAAAACTTTTTTAACATTAAAAAAGTTTTTCGTTTGTTATGAAGTGAACTTTTAAGTTGTCGCTGAATGCGTCTCCAAAAGGGCTTCTTCCCTGTGTGAACTCTCATGGTTATTCAATGAACGTTTTGATCTGAAGGATTTTCCACAGGTGTTGCAGGAAAATGGCATTTCACCTGTGTGGAGCAACATGTGATGAGACAAAGAAGCTTTTTGATTAAAACTTTTGCCACAAATCGTACAAGAGAAAGGCTTCTCGCCTGTGTGAATTCTCTCATGCTGATCAAGAATAACTTTACGGGTAAAGCTTTTTCCACACGACTGACATATGAAAGGTCTCTCACCTGTGTGATTTCTCATGTGACGTGCTAAACTATTTTTGTCCATATAATATTTTCCACATGTGGTACATTGGACACGTGTCTCACCTGTGTGAGAGTTCATGTGAACTCTTAAATCGTTTTTTCTCATAAAACTTTTTCCACAAGTCTGACATGGATAAAGTCTCTCACGTGTGTGAACTATTAAGTGAGTTTTTAAGCAACAACTATAGCTGAATGCTTTTCCACAGGTCACACATAAAAAGGGCTTCTCACCTGTGTGACTTCTTATGTGACTCATTAACTGATGTTTGTGACTACATCTTTTGCCACAGGTCACGCACGAAATGGATTTCACATGTGTGTGTTCCTTCATGTGTTTAGTCAATCCTTTTTTGCTTTTAAAAGTTTCCTCACATGTATTACAGGAAAAAGACCTTTCATCTGTGTGAAGCTTCATGTGAGTAGTCAAATGCATTGTTGGAGTAAAACCTTTGCCACAAGAGTGAACTCTGGTGTGTTTAGTCAAATGCTCTTTTCTAGGGAAACTTTTTCCACAGGACTGACATTTGAACAGATTTTCACCTGTGTGGGTGCTCATGTGAACCTGTAATAGGAATCTCTGATTATGTCTATTTCCGCATGTCACACATACAAAATGATTCTCAGCTGAATGATTTCTAACGTGCCCGTGAATATTACAGTTTGTAGTGACGCTTTCATCACAAGTGAGACATTTAAAAGACCTCTCATCTGTGCAACTTCTCCTGTGTTGAGCCAAGTTTTCTGCTTGAGCTTTCTTGTCCCTTTTGGGTTCTGAATGATCAACACAGTTTTTACACTTTATGGTTTTCTGACATCTCTCATTTTGTTCCAGCCCATTGTCTTTCTTTGATTCTGAGTCTGTATGGTGGTTTTCTTCTTGCTCCTGATTCTCAGTTTCATTAAAGTCCTGAGAGATGATTTGATCTTTCATTGGTTCTGGTTTAATGCGGTTATTTTCTTCATGAGTTGGAGTCACCATAAATGTATCTTCATTCTCCTGCTTCAGTTCAAGCTGATCTTCATGTTCGCCTATGCAGATCTCCAATACTTCCTCTTTAATCAAGGGATGCTCTGGTTCCTCTTCTTTCATCTGCAGAGGTTCTGGCTCCTCCTGGTACCAACTGAGATCCGCCTCTTGTTTATAGAGCTGCTGGTCAGAGAGATCCTCCTCTTTCCAAACATGACCCAGCTGGTGGTCTGGAAAGGCAAACACATACAGGAGAAAGACTTTCTATTGTATATTCAACAAAGAACACTTGACTTTAATCATTCACTGTACATACAGATGCTTAGAAAAGTATCCAGTCCTAATATTAGCAAAACCTTGATTTAAAAATTTCTTTAATCAAAAACACATTTCAATCCAATAGGCTTTGAAGGAATATCCTGTTATCAAATGATGTTATTAAGTTCTACATATAAAAGCAAATGACTATAAAAATATTTTTTCTATAACCATTTGAAATTAAAATAAATTACAATAACTTGGAAAAGTTCAGGTTAAGTTCGAATGAGACACAGAGAGGAGTTTCTACAGCAACTTAAGAGTTGCAACTATGCATGTTGGGAGACATGCATATCTTTAAAATGCCACAATTTGGCTACAGAAGAAAAACAGTTAACCTGTTATATTCAAAAAATGATATATTTGATTTATACCATCACAGTTTTTGAACTGGTCCAGTCCTTGTTTGGTCGAGATGCAACTAAATTAATAAATCAATCAAACGAGTCACAGGGTCACAGAGCAAAGTGGCCGCTTAGTCTGAAACAGTTGGCAGAAGCCCTAGAATTTCATTGAATTAGTTGGTTATTTTTAACTTTTTCATTAAGAATTTATAAATATACAGTCATATTCAATGAATTACAATATGAATTCTGATGTTTGACAGATTAATAGCATAACTTTTGAGTAGGAATTAAACAAAATCTTTATTGGCCTGGTCTAATGTTCTAATCTTAAATATCACGTTTTAATTAAGTCTAAGCAAGTAATCATCATTGAAAGAAATAATTTAAAACATCAGTCTGTGTGTAACTAATCTGTATGTGAGGAGGCAGCTCTGTATTTATTAGGGAGTGCCACATTGTTGTTTTTGCACAAAATGTTTAAGCTTATGGTCTGAGTCCAGTGAGCTGAATTAGAGGCAAATCTAAAAGTTGCAGGACACCAAACCTGGATGACTCGATTTTAATGCCCTTGTTGTAGAACCATCTACTCCAGGTTTCGAGAGTCGGTGGATTCGCCCGTTAGACGTTTCTCAAAAATAAACCACCGGAAGTGACTTTAGCTTCGTTGCCTAGTTTCTGTTAAAAAAATCTTCCTGAAATGAACGCTTTAAACCGTGATATGCCACCCGATTCATCAGTAAATGTGTTTCTTACCCGTTCTGTGTAAGATTGTCTGGGGTGTCGTGATGAAATCCGGGGAAAGTTTGCGCTGATCTTCCATCTCTTCCTCCTTCACGATTATTTCATTAAACTCTGTGAATGTTTCTTCAGCTGGAGTTAGCTGCTCGTTGATCGACTCTCCTTGAAGCTGGACTGAATACATTTTTACTGCAAACATTGACATATTCAGCCCACAGAGGACCAGACTTCCAACAGAAGAAAAGCTAACGCTGCTAGCATCACATTTCTTCTTCTGTTTGTTTATTGGCGGTTGAGAAACAACATTGCAGGTCACTACCGCCACCAACTGGTCCGAAAGGTGGACTGCAGCGTCATGATACGGTCATGTAATCCAGATGAGTTAGTTTAAGATAATTAAATGTTGCCTGATAATTATTTCATGAGGCATACTTAAGTAAATCAATCAAATATTGTTCTTTTTTTACTCTGTTTAGCTCTCCAATCACTTGTCTATTTTTTTCCTCACAAAGAACTAAACTAAATCAATAAAATGCAAATAATTAAAAGGTAATTTGTCTTCTGAGTTAGTGCAGCAGTGGTTGAATGACCTTCACAATAAGCATGTTAATCTAATTTTTAATAATTTCTTCATAACTTCTAATTTGTTTTCAATCACTTAAAAAATATTGGGTAAAATAAAATGTGACAATGAATTACAATATGGGTTCTGATGTTTGACAGATTAATAGCATAACTTTTGAGTAGGAATTAAACAAAGAAGTCATATCTTTCATGGTCAATAAATACAGCATTTTAAGAACAACTGAAGGTACCATAGTTACTTAACTGTGCTGTAAAATGGCACTATCTGCTTGGAAAACAAAACAGTATCTTATTAAATAATTTTTTACACAAAAAATCAAAAGGCTTTTTAACCAAGAATGTTCAAACTAACCAACAATTTAAACTTTAAAGACATCAAGAAAATTTTTCACTGATTTCAAGATTAACTTTGATAGCAAACTACAGACTCCTGCCGATAAAATCAGTGTTGAGTACAATTAGGTTTTTTGTGAAAACCTTTGCCACAAATCGTAAAAGAGAAATCATTATATTTAATGGTTTCACATTAATAACACTGCTTTAATGTGGTTGTTGCATTTTTAGCTAATACTATTAGGTTGTTTAATGCATCATATTCGAAAAGGTCATGTTTGTTCTGTCACTGTTCTTTAAGAGCCATACACGTTTACAGAAAGTGTATGGTTTAATTTGTTTCAGGTAAGAATGGCATTAGTAAACATTGAAAATCTCACACATTTGCACTAAGAAACATTGAGACTCGCGCAATACGCGTTTTGGGTCACACTTTACTCTTTTGTCTGTGTTTGGAACTGGACAAAATGTCTGTAAATGAGCTACTACACCAGCCAATGGAAGGTATTTTTCATCTCAGCAGAATATTCTTTATACTGCATTCGCTTAAGATATATATGTATAAAAAAAAAAAAAAACAGCTTTGGTTTTTTATTAAATGCTTTGATATTCTTATGATGTATTCAAATGTCTAATTCCATTAGCAAGAAATGTTCACTTTTCTCTCTAATGAGAAAAGGCTTTTCACCTGTGTGAACTTTTATGTGACGCATTAATTAGCATCTTTGATTATACTTTTTCCTCAGGTCTTACATAAAAAATGGCTTTTCACCTGTGTGTACTCATGTGTTTCTTCAATACACCTTTTGCTCTGAAAGATTTTTCACAAGTATTACAGGAAAAAGGCTTTTCATCTGAGTGAATCCTCATGTGATAAGTCAAATGATCTCTTCGAGAAAAACTTCTGCCACACATCGTGCAAGAGAACGGCTTCTCACCTGTGTGAACGCTCATGTGTTCCTTCAATACACCTTTTGTTCTAAATGTTTTTTCACAGATATTACAGGAAAAAGGCTTTTCATCTGAGTGAATCCTCATGTGATAAGTCAAATGATCTCTTCGAGAAAAACTTCTGCCACACATCGTGCAAGAGAACGGCTTCTCACCTGTGTGAACGCTCATGTGTTCCTTCAATACACCTTTTGTTCTAAATGTTTTTTCACAGGTATTACAGGAAAAAGGCTTTTCATCTGAGTGGATCCTCATGTGATAAGTCAAACTATTTTTTCGAGAAAAACTTCTGCCACACATCGTGCAAGAGAACGGCTTCTCACCTGTGTGAACGCTCATGTGTTCCTTCAATACACCTTTTGTTCTAAATGTTTTTTCACAGGTATTACAGGAAAAAGGCCTTTCATCTGAGTGGATCCTCGTGTGATAAGTCAAATGGTGTCTTCGAGAAAAACTTCTGCCACAAATTGTGCAAGAGAACGACTTCTCACCCGTGTGAACGCGCATGTGTTTCTTCAAAACACCTTTTGCTCTAAAAGATTTTTCACAGGTATTACAGGAAAAAGGCTTTTCATCTGAGTGAATCCTCGTATGATAAGTCAAATGGTGTCTTCGAGAAAAACTTCTGCCACACATCGTGCAAGAGAACGGCTTCTCACCTGTGTGAATTTTGACATGAATTATTAAATATTTTTTTTTTGTAAAAATTCTTCCACATGTCATACATGGAAAACAATTCTCAACTGTGTGACTTTTCAAATGTTGTGCCATGGTCGTATTTTGAGTAAAAAAATCCCCACAAATTGTACAGCGATACAAATAGCTCTCTGTGTCAGTTTTCTTGTCCTTTTTGGGTTTTGAATTGTCAACACTGGTTATATGCTTCATGGTTTTCTGGCCTTTCATATTTGGTGTCAGTTCTTCTCCTGGCTTTGTTCTTGAATATTTCTGAGGGTTTTCTTTTTGATCCTGGTTTTCAGTTTTGTCAATTTCCTGAGAGATGATTTGGTTCCTAACTGGCTCTGAGTTACTGTGGTTCTTTTCTTCATGGGTAGGTGACACAGTGCATGTATCTTTGTTCTCCTGCTTCAGTTCAAGCTGCTTTTCATGCTCACCTATGAAGAGCTCCAATGTTTCCTCTTTGGTCCAGGGATGTTCTGGCTCTTGCTGCTCTTCTTTCATCTGGAGAGGTTCTGGCTCCTTCCGGTCCAAACTGGGATCTGTATTTTGGTCACAGAGCTGCTGGTCAGAGGGATCCTTCTCTTTCCAAACATAACCCAGTAGATGGTCTGAAAAGGAAAACACACACAGGAGAAAGACTTTCTATTGTATGCTAAACAAAGAACACTTCATTTAATAATTCCCTGAACATAAAGATGCTTAGAAAAGTATCCAGCACTGAGAGCAGCATAAGAGCCAGGGACCTAAAAAAGGCTCAACAGCCACATAAAGAAGGCTGATTCTCAAGGGAGGACATTTCGGGGGTCGGGGGGAGACAATAAACAGCAACAATTCCTAAGACCAATTTTGGGGTTGTCAGCAAAGTTCCAGTGAAATGTAATGTGAAATGTGTTAAAGCTACAGGATCAAAACTGAGTAGTTGGTGGCAATGCATGTGTCTTTTTCAGGAAGCAAACTGTTGACACATAGAATTCAAACTAACATTAAAACATTTAGAAATGGGTTTGGATGAGTGTCAGTGAACTAATCTTTGGTGCACCCTGAGAAGGGCTTAGGCTCTAAATAAAAACAAGTTGTAATGAGTAACTCCTTTGATGAAAAAAAAAGTTTAAGTCTATCAAAGCAATGCAGCCAGTTTTATTAGTTTTGATTTACAAGACATAATGAAGGACTTTATCATGATTCAGCCAGTCATAAAATGACAAACTGCAGTCTGATTTTTATTGTTAACATGTTTCTTTCTATTGAGCAGTGAAAGTAAATAAAAAGTGTTAATATCTTGCTTTAAGTATTTACTTACTGTAGGGATTTTTGTTTGTGCTGCAGAGCCACAGCTAACAGCTAGCTCCTCACTTCAGCGGCTCTAATGAGGCTACGGTTGCTCCTCCTACACATTGGACTAAAGCAGTGCTTCTCAATTATTTTCCGTTACGCCCCCCCCTAGCAAGAAGAAAACTATTCGCGCCCCCCACTCCCCACCGTGACTATCCATCTCTGCATAACATTTTTTCCTTATTAACATTAAAGAAAAAAAGAAAGACATATGGTCAAACTTACAAAGAATAACTTTATTAAATTGTGTTTTAAGTCTGCAACAGAAAAGATTTTAAGTGCATCAATGCCTGAAATAAAAAATAAATAAATCCATGTCTACTGCTGCAGGCAGTATCAGCTCCTCTGCTATGGTGTGGGGCTTTTTGCACTGCGCAATTTGGTACGCCACCTTATATGATGCTAGCAGCGCTCGATGGTTTACTGAAGTAGCCTTCACAAAGCGGGATGACTGTTGGCAATATTCAGCACGTTTTCGCTGAAAAAACTCAAGCGGCTTATCGGCGTGATTGGGATGTAACGTATTTAAGTGACGCACTAATTTATTTGGCTTCATGCTGTCCGCTGCGAGCATTTTTAGACACAGCAAACACAGCGGTCTTTCCTCTTCTCCAACTGTAGTCACAGTGAAGCCAAGCGCTAAATACGCTTCGTCGTATTTCCTCTTCTTAGCTTCCGGTTGACTTTCTGTTGTCTCATTATCTTTGTCTCTCTCCGCTTTTCTTTTCATCCCTGTGAAAAACTTTTTCATGTTGGGGGTTGTTGAATAACGGACGCCATAGACAGAACGCAGTCGGAGCTTTTTGTTGACTTAACACTGCCAACCAAGGCAAACCTGTTGTCTTGTAAGTCGTAAAATGTTGCACTGTCGCAAACGTGACAGAAGTAACAATGAGAGCGCCACTGCCGCCTACTGTGCGCAATTACACTTTATACTAGTACGGCCAAAAAAAAAGCCTGTTCCCCAGGATCACACGCCCCCCCAGGTATCGCACCGCGCCCCCCAAAGGGGGCCCGCCCCACTATTTGAGAAGCACTGGACTAAAGCATTGTTCTCACAATGGCGTGGATGGACATAAACATTTATTCTTATGTTTTTCTAAAGATGAATGGCAGATTTATTTATTTTTTTCTTGTTTCTTTCACTTTTTCTTATCGATACTGTTTAAATACAAAGGTATTTTTCATGATTTCTTTGGGGGGGATAATTCTAGACTTTTTCTAAATTTGGGGGGTATGGGCCCCTCCACATCCCCTGTGATTTCCTGTGATGCTGGTTCTGCTCCAGTATTGTTCTGGGGAAGACAGTTTCTGTTTTCTTCATAAAATAAAGATTATGGGAAACTGTGACCATCCTCTTCATGGGATTGTATTGGGAAGGCAGAGTGTCTTCAGTCAGAGGCTTCTTCAGATTTAATGTAATACAGACGGCTACAAGAGATTTGCCCTGCAAATTACCTACAATAATTCTTTGAAGAATTGGAGAGTTACAACATTTATTTTGACTTTGGGATTATTAAATTATTTCTTAATTTAATTTGAATTACTGTATTTTCCGGATTATAAATCGCTCTGGAGTATAAATCGCACCCCCGGCCAAACTATGAAAAAAAACTACGTAAATCCGCATTGTTCCTTCGCTGAGGGAGGGAAATGGCGGGACTCCATTTCAAAGCCCAACGTTTCCCCCAACACACACAAAACCCCCACTGGTCTCCGGTCCATTTAAACCTACAATAATTTCTGTTCAAATGTATCAAAATTAACAGGTTAAAACCGCAATTTGCGCCCTGCGTCATCAGTTCGCACCACCGGTGTTTCATACCTATTCGGTGTAAGACGATCCGTGGCGTCATGGTGCGCTGATCGTCCATGTCCTCCTCGGATTTATTTAAACTCAGCAGAACTTAGTTGTTGATGTTGTCCAACTCTTGATAAAACTGGAACGAAGACACGCTAACTCCAAACACTCACATATGATAACTCTGGAGTGACTCCGCGCCGAAGGAAAGCTAACGCCGCTAGCATCGCAGCGACGTTAGCGTCTTCTGCTTTTTCTTGGCGCTCAATCAATCAGGTCATCAGCGCCACCTACTGGTTTGGAAGACTACTTTCAAATCTAATTAGAATGTAAAAGAAATGCGTTTATTTCTAATTAAATTAGCTAAATATAGTGCTTCTTTAAAACTTTATTATCTGGAATTTATTCCAGATATTTTTGAATTTATGCTCTATTGGTTCTTCCTCTTCTTCATAAACACAGGAGGCTCTGTATATTATAGTCTCACTACTCTTACTTGAGTAAAACGTCTGGATTTTGTACACACTGAATGAAAAACAAAAACAAAATAAAACAAAAACTCATCAAACACAGACATACACCTGCAGTTTTATATTGAAAGAAACTGATTTGGAAAAATATTATCTTGCCTGATTTAGTGGTTTTCACTTAAATAAATTATCATTTTGGTCCTTAAAATACCAACATTTCCACTTACCTTTATATTTTGGCCTGTCTGATTATGTAATTTTTAAATATTAAATTATTGATCATTTGATCAGTTATTAAGTACTTGAGTAGACTTTTTACCAGATACGTTTTTACTCAGAGTAATTTCTTGGATTGCTATGTCTTACTTTAACTTGATTAAGAATATGTTTAAGCAGTGTTACTCTACTTGAGTACAATTTTTAACTGCTCTGCCCACCACTGGTCAATTGAGTACTCATTGGGGGAAAAAAAGAAATTAACCAACATGGCCCGAGTTTAGCTAAAGTATTTTAGGATGCGTTGATAAAACAGCATACAGTGTTATAATAACATTACAGGACTGGAATATACGGAAGGACAGAATAATGTTAATCCCAAATGAATTTATTCTATTAGCTTTATTATAGCTGAATTATGCAACTTTTATAAAGTTATGTCTCATACCATACTGTCACAACAGTTTCATCAAAATCACACCAGCTGGTTAAGCTCAATATTAAATAAGCAATTAAATGTACAAAGTATTTACCACAAATACAAAATGCTCTGTGCATGCAGGTTTTTGAAACAACCTCGGAATTTTTTAATTGAAAGATCTTTTGTAATTCATATAAAATCATCTTAAATTTTTCTTTTAACAATTTGTGCATTAAAAACAATAAATTCCAGTTTGGTTCATCAATCAAGAAGAAAACAATGAAAAACACAGACAGCAGAAAATAATGCAATAACAAACGGTAAGGATAGTTTACCCTAATGTTAGCAAGTAGAGAGCAGAACAATAAAATTAGTTGATGCCAAATGTGCACATAAAAAGAAAACTACTAAATTACTAAAAATACAGTTTGAACTAGAAGAGTACAATTTCTTTAAATACATTTGTCTTTTCTATGTCTCTTAACATAAAAGGGTTTTTAATCAAGTCAAATCAAGATAAAACTAAAATAATTTCACATTTAAATTAAATGAAAATGCTTTAATCTCATTAAACTCTTGGACAAAAAAATGTTTCAGTGGTTTTAGGACTTCAGCTTAGTAATGAACGACAGACTTCGTCATGATGTTGACAAGATTTACAAACTTTTTGTAAAATAAAATAAAAACTGTTGGATTACCACTTAATAAAACAACCACTTCCTCATCAGGTCGAGATCACGCACTTAGCGAAGGGCAACAGTCAGCCGGGTATAAAAATCCACCAAAAATAATCTGGTTTCCACAAATCATCAGGAATTAGTTATCATAGTACCATGTAAACAATAAACATGTTTGTAGTTTAATATATATACAAGCAATACAATGATATGTTTGCTGGAGAAAAAGAGTAGTTTTTAGTTTAATTTAGCTTCAAGCTTATCAGACAAAGAGTCTCAAAAAGTCATCAAGAGTCAAAGCAGGCTTTGGGGACTTTGGGTTTTATAGTTTTTTTCCTTCAGTTTGGTTGTTGCATTTTTCACCATAACATTTGCGCCACAACTAGTGTGTTTCTGAAAACAATTACAACCAACGTCAAAAAGTTAACCTACAAATGGCTTTATATTTTCATTTTGACAATTCACTGTTTTCCTATACAAAAAGAAAAAAAACCCAAAAAACAATCAGATCTTGGTGATAGTACCCTAAAATACTCAAGACAGCACTGTAGAAATACTTGCAAAGCTGTTTCAAATCTACAGTTGCAGTATGTTAGGTACTGAATATCTTTGACATTTTTACCGCATATGCTCTTTGCAGTTTGACCGTATTTTTCGGACGAATTTGGAAATCAAAGAAGAAAGTGCTGATTTTTATTTAGAACTATGGAAAACTGAGAGCGGCAGAGATTCCAGCGGCTTATATTTGTACGTTTCCAGTTTTATTTTTATTTATATTTGCGGCTTATAGTATGGTGTGCTCTATAGTCCGGAAAATACGGTAATTTATTAACAATAACACACGAAAGCAATGTACTGAGGTCCACCTGACAGAAAAAGTTTGATTTAGAAGACAGTTTCAGGAATAACTGAACAAAAACATTGGCTTGACAGTTCAACGACGATAATTCAGCATTAATACCGACAGCACAATTTGACACGTCATAAGCAAATTATGCAAAATAAAAAACCAGAGGATGCTATGGAAACAAGATTTGCAATCTGTAGGAAGGAATAAGAAGCAACTAGTACAATGAGCAGAATAGACAAAATGTTGTGAGAAATTATTTCTAATCAGAGAAATTGTGGTAAACTTCTCCTATTGAATCTTTCTCAATAAATCCACATTTGTTTATAACTATATGAGTCATTTAGGAAATCCAAATGGCTGCTGTGGCTTCTGCTTGTCACCAGTGTGAGTCCTTATGTTTTATTATTTTTTTATGTGGGGTATTATGTAAAAATCAATTTTGAACATCTTATGTTATTCCCTCATCAAAAACATACTTGTATTTTGATTCTTCCATGCATGTTTGAGAAATCATTTAATGTACATGGTAACTATTCAGGGGTGCTAAACACTTGCAATCATAAAGATCGACCTATTTCCATAAAGTCTGCCGTCTCAAGATGTGCTTCTGCTCTTCTAGACTAGTGGCAGCAGCAATTAGTAAACACCTGGTAGAACTGCTTGTAGGCTGAGCTTATATGAACTTCTTTAGTCCAACACTCCTAAGAACGTTTGTCAACAGTAAAAATATTCTACTGGATAGGATAGGAGCTTCTTAAAGAGAGAGAGGCCATTTTCAAGACATCACGTTGTAAAGTAAAAATTTTTTTAAGCAATGTTTAATATACACACTATTTATATAACACTTGAAGGGAACAGGTACTTGTGTTAGACTAAACTTTTTCTGCACGGTACACCGATTTGTGATTAATTGTTTTCAAGTTTTTACTTTAGCTCAATGCTTGACAGGTCCTGCACAAAAGGGGCTTCTTGTCTGTGTGAACGCTCATGTTTACTCAGTGAATCTTTTCTTTTGAAAGTTTTTTCACAGGTATTACAGTGAAAAGGCCTTTCATTTGTGTGACTCATCATGTGTTGAGGCAAATAAGCTTTCAGAGTAAAACGTTTGCCACAAATGGTACAAGAGTAAGGCTTCTCACCTGTGTGAATTCTAATGTGCTTGTTGCAATCAGAGCTTGCGGCGAAGCTTTTTCCACAAGTGTTGCACACAAAAGGCTTTTCCCCTGTGTGAATTTTCATGTGTTTATTGCATTCAGCCTTTGTAAAAAAGCTTTTTCCACAAGTGTTGCACACAAAAGGCTTCTCACCTGTGTGAATTTTCATGTGTTTGTTCAATGACGGTTTTGATCTGTAACTTTTTTCACAAGTATTACAGGAAAACACCTTTTCATCTGTGTGACGTCTCATGTGATCAGTCAAATTAACTTTTCGAGCAAAACTTTTGAGACAAATAACACATGTGAAAGGCTTCTCACCTGTGTGAATTCTGACATGGTCATCCAGAAAAGATTTCTGAGTGAAGCCTTTTCCACAGAACTGACATTTGAAAAGGTTCTCACCAGTGTGAATTCTCATGTGACGTGTTAAACCTGTTTTGCTTATGAAACGTTTCCCACACGTCACACAATGTAATGGCTCCTCATTTGTGTGCGTTAGGAAGTGAGTTTTTAAACTACCGCTGTGGCTGAACGCTTTACCACAGATGACACACAAATAAGGGTTCACACCTGTATGACGTCCCATGTGAACCATTAACTGTCGTTTTTTAATAAATCCTTGTCCACAGGTCTCACACGAAAAGGGTTTTACACCTGTGTGAACTGTCATGTGTTCAATTAATGAATATTTAGATCTGAAGGTTTTTTCACAGGAGTTACAGGGGAAGGGTTTTTCATCTGTGTGAGTCTTCAAATGATTAGTCAAATGACCTTTGTCAATAAAACCTTTACCACAAATGGTACAAGAGAAAGGCTTTTCACCTGTGTGAATTCTGACATGTTTATCAAAAGCAGGTTTTGTGATAAAGCTTTTTCCACAGGACAGACATTTAAATGGCCTCACACCCGAGTGAATCCTCATGTGTTTATTTAATGAATGTTTTATTCTGAACGTTTTTTCACAGGTGTTACAGGAAAAAGGCTTCTCACCTGTGTGAATTCTCATGTGCGCCGTTAAATTTCCTTTTTTTGTAAAACTTTTTCCACACGTACACTGAAAACGCTTCTCACCTTTGTGACTTTTCAAGTGTTGAGACAAGTTACTACTTTCACTAAAACCCTCACCACATATTTTACAAGAATACACAGCAGTTTCTGTGTGAGATTTCTTGTCCCTTTTGCATTTCAAATTAACACAGTTGTTGCGCTTCATGGTTTTCTGATGGCTCTTATTTTGTTTCAGCCCTTCATCTTGCTGTGATCCTGAGTTTTTATTAGGATTTCCTTTGCAATCCTGGAGCTCAGTTTGACTATAATCCTGAGAGACAGCTTGATCCACAATTGGTTCTGGTTTAATGTGGTACTTGTCTTCATGTGTTGCACTCACTATTGATGTATCTTCATTCTCCTGCTTTAATTCAAATTGCTCTTCTTGCTTACTTATGCAGAGCTCCAATGGTTCCTCTTTAGTCCAGGGATATCCTGGTTCTTGATGCTCGTCTTTCATCTGCAGAGGTTCTCGTTCCTTCTGATCCAAATTGGAATCTGTTTCCTGTTTACAGAGCTCCCGGTCAGAGGGAGCCACTTCTTTCCAAATATAATTCTGTAGTTGATCTAGAAAGGCAAACAAACATAGGAGAAATGCTCTTTGTAGGTTATCATCTGCTAGAGCTACTAGTACCGATTTTAATTTGGTCCCCACCATTATTCCAAGGCTACACTATGAATGTAACATGTCTCCTATTATAAGTGTAATTTGTGATTAGATTAGATTATACTGTACTACTTATATGGATAATGATTTTAACCTTACAGGAGCATCATAAAGCAAAGATGCTTTAATTAATTTGCATTCTGAAAAAGTGGTTCAAAATTATTTTCACAATTTGCAAGTATGTACAGACAAATCCTGACTTTAAGGTGACAAGTTTAGTATGTTTTGTTTTGAGAATTAGGAGCAGTTGTGTAAAATATGAAAAAAAAAAAATTAAATCCGTCAATACTAAATAAAAACATATGATGCTCTTGGGAACCCCCTAGTGGTGCCGGGGCCCTAAGCAACTGGTTACTTGCAAATGCCTTGAGCCGGCTTATGAAAACTCGCTGATTTATTGCAGAAACATTTTTTCTAGAAAGAGATTTTAAAAAAAGGTATACAGAGAGAAAGAAAATATTAGGCAAGAGAAAACAGGAAAAGGGGTAGAGTTCAGAACCAAAAGAGAATGATGCAACTCTAATAACCACACAGGGAAGAAGATATAAAGGAAACTAACTTTAGCTCAATCTCACAAGGAGCTCTAATGTATACTTGTGAGTTTATCACACGTTTTCTGCAAAAATGTTCAAAAACATTTAACATTATAGTCTGATCAAGGTGGAGAAGAACAAAAATCAAAATTACAGCACAAATATTACTAAATGTCTTGCAAATATTTCTGAATTTGAAGTTATTTTGATTGCAAATACAATCATAAAGTCCTAGCTGGATTGATCTATGTGGAAAATGTTCAATATCATTTAATTTTAAGAAGTATTTAACAAATTTAGACATCTATTTACTAGTATGTCAACTGTATGATCATGGGTTTTATTCTGGCACAACAGTTTGACATCCCTGCAGTAATAAACGCTGATCACATAATATAGTGCAACATTATTTCATACCAGTTGGGTGTAATGCGGTCCGCAAATCCTGCAGTCTGTCCCAGTCATTTATCTCTTCCTCCTTCTTTACGGTCCCATTAAACTCTGTTTCTGCAGCAGGAGTTTCCTGCTCGTTGCTCAACTCTCGTTGAGGTTTGATTGAAGACATTCTGACTGCAAACATTCAGATATTCAGCCCATAAATGGACCAAAATCCACAGAATGACTCCACGCAGAAGGAAAGCTAACGTTGCTATGACCACGTTTTAGCTCCTTCTTCTTATTCTTCACACATCGAATCAGGTCTTTACCGCCACCAGCTGGTCTGGAGGGTCAACAGCAAGATGCATTTTTAATGTTCTTTTCTTTTTTTTTTCTCAGTTATTAACAACAAATACGGCATCAATGTCAGATGTATTCGAAGCGGAAATAGCTTCCAAACACAATCAAGTGAGAAAAAAAGAGAAAAGTAATCTATAAACCAAAATAGATAAATAAATGAGAAAAATATATATAAAAAAAAACGACCAGGGGTTTTTCAGTAGTTTTAGATTGTTTATTATACAATTCATTTGTCCATGAATTTCAATAGATAAGAAAAGGTGGCAGAGTTCCTTGTGTAAAGTGGGGCATTTTTTTAGTTACTTATTTTCAATTGACATTGTTGAATTAAATATTTGCCCTTTTAAGTTTCTTTTCTTTTCTCAGGGTTTCAAAAATAATGTCATTCTTAGTTCAATTTATATTAAGATCTCTGATCTGCTACCAAATAATTATCTTGTTATGCTGTGAACTGGAATCCAAACAATTAACTGATTTTCATGGTTCTGAATTTAATATTGCAATAACATCTCCTGTGTATGCTGAAATACTGTTATTTATGCTTTTCCCTACTTTGAGTGAAAACTCTGGTAAAATGGACTGTTTGTGACGTGAAACTGTCCAAGAATGTTTACTCCACCTACTGCTGCCATCTTCTGGATTAAATAGGTATTTATTTTCCTTTTACTTCTACTTCATTCAACAAAAACTCCTGGACAATTTACTTTAAATTTGCTCCTACATTGACACTTTAATATCTAGAACCTGAAATTAAAATATCAACTAACTTACTGCTGTCTTTTTTAATCATAGAAATAAGGGTGGTGCTGTTTCTTTCTGGGATATGAGAGAATAAATGTTTAGCTCCAAACTGGAGCTAAACATGTCATAGCATCAACACAGATCCAGCTGCGCAGATTTATTTTCAAAGCATAAAAAAATAAATAAATAAATCACAGTTGCAGGTGAACAGAAATGTCCTCAACGACTCTCAGGTTCAATGTGGAGCCAAAAGTTTCCCTGAAAGTTGTCTTTCATTTGGTGCAATGTCCAAAAGCTGTCCTGTCTCAAACTGAGAAAAACCACGCAACACTGGAGGTGTCTGTTTTCTTAACTGAAACATTTACTTTTGTAAAATGATTCAGTATATTTGACATTCTTACTTTACTCTTAACCTTTTCTGTTCCGCATCAATTCAACAATTAAGGACAACGTTTTTCACCTTTTCTACCTTCCAACATATTTTACACACAAAATATAAATATGTGACTAATCATCCAAATAGAAAAAGGAGCATACTATCCCCAGTAACTCACCAAACATGTTTGTTTTCTGTTCCATACTGTGTTCAGGTTTCTTTAAAGAAATGTTCCAATTTTCTTACCAACAGCCAACCAACATGTTCAAACTTATTTGTTTAAGTAAACTTTATCTTGAGTAAACAACTAAATTGACCAAACATTGACCACAAAAATAATAACTGATCAAATTCTGTAAACATACTCTTACAAAATACCATTAGAAAATATACATAAAGATTTTAGGTTGTCTGAAAATGTGAGAAAACAAAGATATTTGTCATTCATAGAAAACCATATTAAAAATCAAAGCATTTTTTAATTCTTCGATTCATTTAAGGAGCAACATTCACAACAGAAAACAAAGATACAAAGAACACAAATTTACAGAACACATCCGAAGAATCAAAAGCAGCAGCACTGAAATTAGTTATTGAATTTGCACATTAAAGAAACTAAAAAGTAGAAAGTCCAAACTTATAGAGGAGTTTAGCATCTCTAAATAAATTTGTATTCTAATTCAAACGGCTTTTTGCCAAGTCAAATGATAAAACTCAAAAATTTAAACATTAAATCAAATGAGGGAAACAGATTTAAACATTTTTCGAATTGCGATGTTGGACATTTTTACAAGGTTTACAATATTACATTTTTCAGTTACATGTTTTCAAATTAACTGTTGGATTACAGATTAAAATGACACATGGACATTTTTACACAAGTCATACTAGCATGAAAGGCCTCTTATGTACATTCTTGTGGCTTCTCATCTGTGTGAGCTCTCATGTGTTTATTTAATGAATCTTTTCTTTTGAAGGTCTTTTCACACGTATTACAGGAAAAAGGCCTTTCATCAGTGTGATGTGCCATGTGAGAAGTCAAATTACCTTTTTGAGTAAAACCCTTGCCACAAACCATACAAGTGAAAGGCTTCTCACCTGTGTGAATTCTGACATGCTCATCGAACACAGATTTTCTTGTGAAGTTTTTTCCACAGAACAGACATTTGAAAAGCCTCTCTTCCTTGCGAGTTCTCATGTTAACCGTTAACTGACTTTTATGAATCAAACCTTTTCCATATGTCACAAATTGGAAAGGTTTCTCATTTGTGTGCGTCAAGAAGTGAGCTTTTAAGCTACTGCCGTCGCTGAATGCATTCCCACAGATCACGCACAAAAAGGGCTTCTCACCCGTATGGCTTCTTGTGTGAACAATTAGCTGGTGTTTTTGGTTGAATCCCTTTCCACAGGTCACACACAGAAATGGCTTCTCGCCTGTATGGCTTCTTATGTGAACCTTTAACTGATTTTTTTGATTAAACCTTTTTCCACAGGTCACACACAAAAAGGGCTTCTCACCGGTGTGAATTCTTATATGTTCTTTCAACGAATGTTTTGATCTGAATGTTTTTCCACACGTGTTACAAGGAAAAGGCCTTTCATCTGTGTGACACTTTGTGTGATTGGTCAAATGACCTTTGTCAGTAAAATCTTTGCCACAAATCATACAAGAGAAAGGCTTCTCACCTGTGTGAATTCTGACATGTGCATCAAGACCAGGTTTTGTAGTGAAGTGTTTTCCACAGGACAGACATTTGAAAGGCTTATCACCAGTGTGAATTCTTGTGTGAACCATCAACAGATATCGCCGATTGAAGTGTTTTCCACATGTCTTGCACACAAATGGCTTCTTGCCTGTATGAACCCTCATGTGTTCATTTAGGGAATCTTTTCTTTTGAAAGTCTTTTCACAGGCATCACAGGAAAAAGGCCTTTCATCTGTGTGAAGCCTCATGTGAGTGGTCAAATTACCTTTTTGAGTAAAACTTTTGCCACACATGGTGCAAGAGAAAGGCTTCTCACCTGTGTGGACTCTGACATGCGCCTCAAGAAAAGGTTTTGTAGTGAAGCTTTTTTCACAAGACAGACATTTGAAAGGTCTCTCACCTGTGTGAATTCTCATGTGAACAGTTAAATGTCCTTTGTTTATATAACTTTTTCCACATGTTGCACATGGAAAACGCTTCTCACTTGTGTGATAATTCAAGTGCTCAGCCAAGTTACTATTTTGAGGTAAGAAATCACCACATAACTTACAAGAACACAAATTACCATGTCTTTTTGGTTTTGAATTTGCACAGTTTTTACGCTTCCTGGTTTTACATCTCTTATTTGGTTTTGGCACTTTATAGTGCTTTGATCCTGAGTCTTTCTGATGGTTTCCTTCTTGATCCTGGTTTTCAGTACCATTTAAGTCCTCAGAGATTATTTGGTCTCTCATTGGTTCCAGTTCAATGTGGTAATTTTCTTTGTGTGAAGGAGTCAACAAAAATGTATCTTCAGTCTCCTGCTTCAGTTCAAGCTGCTCTCCATGCTCACCTATGCAGATCTCCAATACTTCCTCTTTAATCCACGAAAGTACTGGTTCCTGGCACTCTTCTTTAATCTGCAGAGGTTCTGGTTCCTCCTGGTCCAAACTGGAATCACTCTCCTGCTTACAGAGCTGCTGCTGCTCCTCTTTCCAATCATAATCCTGTAGATCATCTGGAAATTAAACAAAACAGTAGAGAGGGTTTCTATTCACTTTAATTCATGCATATAAACAGGCTTTGAGAAGTATTTAGTCCTAAAATTAACTGAATCGGATGAAGACTTTAGTCTCTACGCATTTCAGTTTATCAAGCCATTAAAGACAATATCCTGTAACAAGAGGCAGTTTTAGATCTGCACAAAGGAAATGACAATTAATTTGAGCTCTAGAAGCAGTCTGGACTTCCTTACAACCTCATAATGTGAGGCTGCTCCACCATATGGCATGCTACAATGGTGCAGTAAGTCAAGTGTCTCTACCAACTAATTATACTTTATTGTGAAAATCACAAAACTATGTCTGAAAGACTGAACCATTCAAATGAAACAATCCTGTCTAGGTTTAAAAAGTCCTCTAGCTTTAACAGATTAAAATGTTCATGGCAGAAAGAAGCTGGGTGAATTCACCGTTAGCCGTTTCTTAAAGCTGAAGCTACAACCGAAAGGCAACTTTATCTTGGTTGATAAACCAAGATAAAGTTAATAAAGCTCTAAAAACATGACATTAAAACCGCCGTCGGCATTAGAGCGTTAGCATCGCCTGTATTTAATACCTTTTCCGTGTAAAAGGGAGAAATCCAGCAGTCGGTGCTGATCGTCCGTCTCTTCCTCTTTAACGATGATTTCTTTAATCTCCGTGAATGTTTCCTCAACAGCAGTTCGCTGCTCGTTGAAAAACTCTCGCTCAAGCCGGACTGAAGACATTTCTACTGCAAACACTCACATATTCAGAGGATCAAAGTCTCTTCTGCAAGCAGAAGAAAAGCTAACGCTCGTCTTCTTCTTTTTCTTGATATGTTATGGCGGTTAGCAAACATTTAAACAGATCGTTACCGCCACCAACTGGGCTGACCGCAAAGCGCAAGATACTGACATGCAAAATATGTCAGAAAAAGATAAAATATTGCCTGTGGAAGAGTCAAAAATATAATTGCGTAACTTTATGATGGTGGTTTATGTCTTTGAGCAAAAACACGCTCTAGTGGAAGTGCTTGGAGCTCATAAAAAAGTTATGTGAGGCAGAAAATAAGAGGATTTGATTTTATATTCTGAATATTTCATATTCACCAAGCCTGATAAATGAGCACCAAACATCAAGCAGTTTATAACTAAGCAATAATTCAAACTTCAAATTTTCAAATAATTCAAATAAACTCAACTTTAATGCTGTTTAACTTTTAAGAAAAAATAATTTGTGGTTTTTGGATTTCAGAATAAAAGTGAACTACTGACGCCAGCCTGTAAACAAAGTTCTTAACATTCTGAAGTTTTAATATTTTGCAAGTTTTACTAAATTATTTTTTTTGTTACACAAATTCTAGAGCTAAACAATGAAATCATAAAAAATAATGATTAAAAAAACCACAAAGATGAGAAATTATCACATTTAGCCTGTCACATCTTTCCTGCTTCACAATTATTTATCTTGAGCAGCAGAGTTAAACTCTGTTAGTCTAAAATATGTAATCAAAAGTGAAAACATTCTGCCAACTATGGACGTTTCAGTTCTGAAATTTTTTCTCAGTAGCTTTGTTGCTTTTCTCGCATTAAGGTTTTCACCACAGCTAGTGCCTTTCTCAAAACAATTAACACACTTGCTGAGATCTGGACACCACTCTTCATTAAAAATATTGTAAAATGGATTTGTCGTGTTTTCATTATGATACTTCACTCTGAAAGTGTTTTTCATTGCAAAAAAGTCAGATCTGGGTAAACAGTTCCTGCTTGAAACCACTAACTATAATTTGCACAGATAAAAGAGATCTACAGTTAGTGATGTAAATGAGCGCCAAACATCAAATACATGTCTTACATTTTTATTGCATATGATCTTTGCAATTCTAATTTTTTCACAGAACTGTTCAAAAGCAAAGTTCATACTTACTGTATTTACAACAAACATAAGGCTTTATCAGGCTTCACCTTTTGGGTAAAGCTGTGCAACACTATAAAGAATATCATCTGTAAAAGAAGATGTTCACTTGAGAGAAAATAATTAAAATCAAAATTTTCAGGAATGAATCATAAAGAAATGCACAAAACTTTAACAACTTGTTCAATATTTTTGTTTCTAATTTAATGTAACAAAAACAAAACTATTGTTCCTTTCATGAGAACTGACTAGAATGAGAACTCTTGAGTGTTCTAATTTAGACTCACTAGTGAGTTCTCATGTGAAGTATCAAATCTGTTTTTCTAAGCTAACTTTTTTCACACACAACACATTGAAAAGGTTTCTCATCTGTGTGAGTTACAAAATGAGTTTTTAAGCTACTGCTGTGGCAAAATGCTTTTCCACATGTCTTGCACAAAAATGGTTTCTCCCCTGTGTGAACCCGCATGTGTCTATTCAATAGATCTTTTCTTCTGAAAGTTTTTTTACAGATATTACAGGGAAAGGGCCTTTCATCTGTATGAGTCCTCATGTGATTAGTCAAATGCACTTTTTGAGAAAAACCTTTGCCACAAACCACACAAAAGAATGGCTTTTCACCTGTGTGAACTCTCTGGTGTTTATTCAACGCATCTTTAGATCTGAAGGGTTTTTCACAAGTATCACAGGGAAAAGATCTTTCATCTGTGTGAATTCTCATGTGATCAGACAAATCCCCTCTTTGAGCAAATTCTTCGCCACAAATCGTACAAGAGGAAGACTTCTCATCTGTGTGGGTTCTCATGTGAATTGTGAAATGTACTTTTTCTTCATAACTTTTTCCACATGTTGTACATTGAAAATGAGTATCTAATGTGTGAGCCATGAAGTGAACTCTTAAGGTGTGGTTATGATGGAAAGCTTTTCCACAGATCCCACACAGAAAGGGCTTCTCACCTGTGTGTCTTCTAATGTGAACCACTAACTGGCCTTTTCGATTAAACCCTTCCCCACAGGTAACACACAAAAAGCGCTTCTCACCTGTGTGAACTGTCATGTGTTCAGTTAATGAACTTCTTGCTCTGAACGTTTTTTTGCAAATATTACAGGAAAAAGGCCTTTCATCTGTGTGACATCTCATGTGATTGGTTAAATGAGCCTTTTCATTGAAAGTTTTCTCACAAATCGTACAAGAGAAAAGCTTCGCACCTGTGTGAATTCTGACGTGCCTATTAAAATCTGATTTTCTTACGAAGCTTTTACCACAGTACAGACATTTAAAAGGTTTTTCACCCGTGTGAATTATGATGTGCTTATTAAAATCTGATTTTCTAGTAAAGCTTTTTCCACAGTACAGACATTTAAAAGGCTTCTCACCCGTGTGAATTCTGACATGCTTATTCAAATCAGATTTTGTAATGAAACTTTTTCCACAGGACTGACAGGTAAAAGGCTTCTCGCCAGTGTGAGTTCTAATGTGAACTATTAATTGGCATTTTCGAATGAACCCTTCCCCACAGGTCACACACAAAAATGGCTTCTCGTTTGTGTGAATTCTCATATGATCATTCAATGAAACTTTTGATTTGAATGTTTTTTCACAGCTATTACAGGAATAAGGCCTTTCATCTGTGTGAAGCATCATGTGATAAGTCAAATTACATTTTCGGCCAAAACTTTTGCCACAAATCACACAAGAGAAAGGCTTCTCACCTGAGTGAATTCTGACATGTTCATCAAGAACTGATTTTTTAGTGAAGCTTTTTCCACATGAAATACATTTGAAAGGCCTCTCCCCTGTGTGAATTCTCATGTGAACTATTAAATGTCCTTTTTTAATAAAACATTTTCCACATGTTGTACATGGAAAACGCTTCTCACATATGTGCCTTTTCAACGGCTGGGTCAAGTGACTGTTTTGAGTGAAAATGTCCCCTCTGGGTTTTGAATTGTCACATTTGTCACGCTTTATGGTTTTCAGACATCTCTTATCTGGTTTCTGTGCTTTATCTTGCTTTGATCCCGAGCCTTTATGATGATTTCCTTCTTGATCCTGATTCTCAGGTTCACTGAAGTCCTGAGAGATGACTTGGCTCCTGATTGGTTCTGGTTTAATGTGATTCTTTTCTTCATCATTTGAAGTCACCATAAGTGTATCTTCAGTCTCCTGCTTCAGCTCAAGTTGGTCTTCATGCTCACCTATGCAGATCTCCAATACTTCCTCTTTAGTCCATGGATGTTCTGTATCTTGCTGCTCTTCTTTTATTTGTAGAGGTTCTGGTTCCTCCTGGTCCAAACTGGAATCAGTCTCCTGTTTCCAGAGCTTCTGGTCAGAAGAAACCACCTCTTGCCAAACATAATTCTGTTGATCGTCTAGAAACAAAAACACAGTAGAAAGTTTTTCTATTGTGGGTTTAAAAAAAACACATTTAAGTTTAATGTATAAGTAGCTAACTTAAGTATTAAATTCTAAAATGTTTTGGAAAAATAGTAATTTAGTCTGAATGTATTGTAGTCTAATAAGCTACGGTATGTTTTAAAAAAAATACATCCTTTGTAATCACTGTTCCTTTTAAATTTCTTGTCTATTTGTCATCATAACAGTTTTTGTGGCTCTCTATTCCCTTTTGCCTTCATATCCTCATCATTTTTCTATCTCAGATGCTTTTCTCTCAATAGTAACAACTTTGTTGAAAAAAATTCCTAAATAGTTTAATTGAACACATGATTTCTGTATTTGCCGAGCTGGCATCACAGATCATCTAAACTATTTGATTTAAATTGTTCCTTTTCCTCCAACTTTTTTTTCTCTCCTCTGCCTCGTCTCTTTCTAGAATAACTTTCTGCAATGAACTATCCCCTTTTTAGAACTTCTTTGGTCATATAGAATACTTTATTGGCAACAAAAATATGAATAACTAAATGGCTCAATAAAGCAAATAAAGTAGCAAATATTGCATCAAAAATTTAAAATAAGAACTTTCCCAACTTAGAGCTTGGATCTTGATGTTGGTCAATAAGAGAGAAACTGACTCCCTTCCCTCATCCTTACCGCTTTGTCACTTTACCTCCTACAAAGAGTCAGAAGGAAAAGCAAAACATGAGGGAAAATAGAAACAAATCTGTAAATAAACAAAGGTGAAAACAGGAAGGGAGAAAATATTATAGGAGAAAATAAATCAATGTGTGATCAATAAAATGGAAAACAAAACAACTTTTTTGTGGTTGCATCCATCTAAGCCAGTGTTTCCCAACCCTGGTCCTCAATGTTCTTCTTCTTTTCTGTTATGGCGGATTACAAGCAACTGATCTAAATCACAGGTGTCAGACTCCAGTCCTGCAGCTTTTAGGTGTGTCTCTGCTGCACCACACCTGAATGGAACAATTAGGTCATTAGGAAGGCTCTGGAGGACTTATCAACACAAGGAGGAGGTAATTCAGCCATTTCAATCCAGTGTTTTGTACCTGTGGCCCTCGAGGACTGGAGTTTGACATCCTTGATCTAAATGATCTAAGAATTATTCAGTGACATTAACGCAGAGTAAAGAAACTAGATATTCAGTAAAAAACTATACAGTGTTTGGTAATTAATTTCAGAGGGTTCTGTCAATCATATCTGTTTTTTTCAGCTTCATTGCCTAATTTCCGCCGATATGTCCCAAAATTAACGCTTTAAAACCGAAACCTCACCAGTGAGACGTTGGCATCATTTGTGTTCCCTACCTTTTCGGCGTGAAGTGAACTGAGGAGACCTGGAGAAATCCAGCAGTCTGCGCTCATCGCCCGTCTCTTCCTCCTCCTTCACGATCATTTCTCTAAACTCCGTGAATGTTTCTGCAGCAGGAGTTAACTGCCCGCTGATCAAGTCTCGTTTTAGCGGGACTGAAGACATCGTTACGGTAAACATTCACATATTCCTCCCGCAGATGGTCAAAAGTCTCCAGGGTGAGTCCAAGCAGAAGGTAAGCTAACGCTGCTAGCATCACAGCTCTTCTTCTTGAGTTTAATTGCCGGTTGGCAAAAGCCGTTAGTTAAGCATTACCGCTACCTAGTGGTAAGGAGAGTGGCTCATGAGGATTTAATTAATTCTCTAAACAAATACACATCTATCTAAATTGTTAAAAACAGTAATTTTCTTTTTTGTGGCATTACATGCTTAGTGTGGACCAGAGTATCTATCTTAGCTACTTAAACTATATTCTTGTATTTAATCCCATTTCCTTCAGAAATTTAATAAAGGTTTTATCAATAAATGAGGTACTTCTCATACACACACGTATATATATTATCTTTGTGAGAGATTAGATTTAGCACTTTATTTTTCACATAATGGGTTATAGCAGAAAATAAAATGGTCTGTATTGTTCATATGTGGAATCACCATAATTAAAAAAAAACAGAATTCTGAATTAATCACAAAGAATCAGAAAAGAAAAAGCTTATTTTAATTTTAAATCAAAATTTGCTGAGTATAATAGATCTAAATTTAGGAATTATACATTTTAACATCCCCTGTGATTGTAAATATATACATTTTCCAGTCTCTGATATGTAGAGTGTTCAATCATTTTTTCTGCAGTCACAGAAGAGGATTGTCATCCCCTCTTTTGCAGAAAGAAAACCAACAAAAAAAAAGTTACTTGTGAAATTGTCGAAAACAGGTCTTGTTCTTCTTGATGCACAGGTGCACTTTGCACTTTGAACATTTGAAGACGGTCTGGCCCTTACACTGAGGCATCTTGCAGCGTTGCCGTCCTCTTTCCACCACCGGCCAGTGACCGACAGCATCTGAACGCACTTTCAGTGTCGGGATCTCCTTAGCTGGGCCCCGACGTTTCTTCTTCTCAAATTCACTTTCCACGTCAAAGTAAGGCCATCCCCTCTTCTTCTTGGACAGGTCTTTGCCTTGCATGAAAAGAGCTTGTGCAATTGAAACCCTAAAAGCAAGAAAGTCCTTCTGCCTCCGTCTTGGAATACCCAGCGATTCGCAATCACGTTTGTATAACAGCCAGCTGTTCACAATGACCATATCGAGGAAATGACAAAACAGCCTGTGGTAATACTTCCTGGACCTAATCTGGGTGCGATAGGATGTAATCAGCACATCAAGGGCATCGATGCCGGCCACAAACTTGTTGTACAGGTTGATGATGTTGGGATATTCCACTGAATGTTTTTGCTTCAGCTTTCTGTTCCATTTTTGGACATTGGTCATAGGCTGAGCACCAGCAAAGGTGCTAGCAACGATCACCCCCTTATAGTAAAACCACTTGACTGCTCTTATTTCCAAATCATCGACGGCAACCCGTTTCTCCTCAAAAGACCCCAATCCCTTCTTCTTCATCTCAGAGTCGGTGCTAAAGTTGCAGCCTTGGAGGCCATTTTGCTCCACAGCACCAAGGGCTGGTATCCCCTTATTTGTGAGAGCTGCAAACAAATCAATGGACGTAAACTGACTGCCAAAATACAAAAGATGATTGACAGAACCATGGATGACTTGTGCAAGCTTCAGGACTATGTTTCCACTTGCCCCGATGTCTGGTTCTCCAGGTAGAGGATCCATTTTCCCTGTAACTACATTGAACGAGTGAATCAGGCCCTTTGTATCACACAACACGAAGATCTTGTATCCCCATCTGCGTAACCTTTTAGGGATATATTGCACCAGACTAGAATCACATTTTAAAGGGACCATTTGCTGAGCAATACACAGCATCTGATCTTTCGGGAGGTTGTTAAACTTTTGGAGAAGTGAATCAAAAACCGGCCTGATTTTGAAGAGTGCGTCTCCGCTGTTGGCGGCCATGGTGCTGTTGTCGTTGAAATGAAGAAACTCCTTAATCTTCTTCCATCGCTCCCGGGTCATCACATCAGCCACATACTCTACTCTGCACTCGCTGGACCAGTACATTCCTGAATTTGGAAGATGTAGAATACTCATGTACACTAACGTCCCGATAAACTGCTCGAGTTCATTTCGATCCAGCTTGAGGCCAGAGTAGCGATTGCGTGTGCTTTCTTGAGAGAAATACAGATTGCTTTGTTCTACAATAATATCCAAAAGATCCGCGTCGAAGAAGTCCCGGAAATACTGAATGGGTTCTCTGGTTTCATCAGAGAACCCATCAGACGTGGGAAGAGAACCTCGCCACTTTGGGATGTTTTTCGCAGAGTCCTCTGACTGCACCGTCTCCCACGACAACCTTCGCCATCGTCTCGTTTCTGCAGAGGCCGGTTGAGCCCATGCGGTAGCGGCGCTGGTGCTGGCAGCTGGATCGTTGTCGCTGTCGGAGTCTTCATCACTGCTGCTTTCATCACCTGGTTTAGGTCTGTTGTCCTCATCGCTGTCGTCGCTGTCACTGAGGCAGCTGTCATCGCTTTCCACTGGTGGGACTCTGGTTCGAAGCCTGCAGTCCTGCAGAAAGCGATGATTAGGTTCTGCTTTTAAATATTTAAGTCCTCGCCTCTTATGATTTTTGTTTGACGTTCTTGGTCATCTTGTAATTTTACTAGATTTATGTGTTTAGAAAAGTGCTATGAAAATAAACTATTATTATTAAAGGTAGAGGTACAAATCTGCAGGATTCTGTTTTTATTGGACTTTTCCCTTAAATGTTACATAAATAGTTTTTATTTCTATTCTGCATTCCCTGGTATTTTAATAAAACCACTCGTTTTCTTATTTGCTTGTCATTTACAGTGCCTTTCAAAAGTAGTGAATGTTTAACCTATTATATTTTTACAAATCAGTAATGAGCAACAAAATTTGGTTGTTTTGACAAATAAAATTACAAAAAAAGACTTTAAAAGTGTGGTGTGTAATTTTTATTTACATTTTTTTTTTTTTTACATTTTTGTTAAAACTCCATTAAAATTTAATGAGATAATCTGTGAAAGATTGGTCTCCCCCTCCCTGAGCTACTATAGCAGTCTGACCAAAAACAACCAATCAGAGCCAGGAGGAGGATCTTGGTGCCGTCAATCAATCTCGTGTCCTCGCTCCTAATTGTTCTAATAGTGGAGAAACAACTATATGTTGCAGGAAAACCGTTTATTGACCATCCTACGTGGCTATGGTATCTAACAATCACAACAGGATGTGCTAGCTGCAAGAAGATCTGCATCTAGATCTTCTTGATTGAGACACATCCATATAGATTGGTGCTGCTACTAAATACCAATTTGAATGGCATAAATATTTAGTGAATTAAAACATTCTTCAGCAACTTGTGTGTGGATTTTCTCACCTGTGTTTCACTGCTTTGACGTCTAGTTGTTTGTCTTCTGAACAACGTGGGACGGTCTAATCGACACAGAAAGGTGGTGATTAAAATGTGACTTATAAATAATTAAAACATTCATTTTAACCGTCACACAACAGGGACAAATTAAAAACTTTTTTTTTTTCACACGTACCTGTACGATTGAACTTCAGGAAGTGAGTCTTTGGACAGACTTTTCGCTCATTGTTTCAGTTTTATACTTGAGCTTTGCTAACTCTGGTTCTGATTTTTGCCTAATTGATCCCAGCAGGGACTCAGTCGAAGACATAAGTAGATTTCAAACTGCAGCAATGCATTCTGGGTACAGACTAAATGTCATTTACTGCAGTGGAGCAGATCACAGGTGGAGAACGTGGCTCCAGTTTTCCACCAAATGTCTTCATCACTGAAAATTTTAAACTTTCAATCTTTTTGAAAGTTTACAATTTTAAACTTTAGACCTAAAGACCTCAAAAGGTTTTTCAAGACATTTGTAAAACTGCTTTGAATCTGAAGCAAATAGTTAACATTTCAAATAGTTCAGTCAGGAGATTCTGTTTAAAGAGAGAACAGCGTAAAACAAACCAAAACAAGGGGGGTTTACACAAAACTTATTTAAATTATAGTATTAGGTTAATTTTGCTGTAAGGCATTTTCTTAAGTAAAATTATTCAAATTACATTTCTATAAATGATTAAGCAGACAAGTTAATTTTTGAGCATTTTGAATCAATTCAGAATTCAAAGGTCTGCACCTGTGATACATCATATGTATTTAATATTTTTAAATATCGGCTATAACTGCGACTTTTAATACAGGATATTGATAATGACCCTAATTTGTATTTCGGCACCTTTTATTTCCGCAAAAACACACATGATGCCAAGATCAAGTGATGTACACATGAGCAAAATCAAATGTCACTTTTTTTTAGTTGCTTTATTTGATGTTTAAAACAAAACATCAATTCAACAAGATAACAAGCATAACTAATTGAATAAAATGAAACAAAACAGCTTCACTCGGTTAAAAACATCAAGTAGGAAAACATGTGAAATGGCGTAAACAGAATTTAAAAAATAAAAGCTTAATTTCATTTCATATGTATCTTTAACTGAACTTAAAAAAAATACATTTTTACCAAGTAGAGCAAATATCTTAGTACACTTGAAATAAGGCAAAAATAATTTCTAAGTAACTTTTCAGCAATATATAGAAGCTTTGCTTTAGGTAAATAATTCCTCAAAGTTTGTGAAAAAGTTCTAGTTTCACTTAACACAAGAAAAATGTAGGAAGTAAAATAATAATCAGATATTCGTACTTTTTCATCAATATTTAGAAATGATTGACTTAAAAAAAACATTAGCTTTCTGAAAAGTTGCATATAAGATAGTTTTGTGTTATTTCAAGCTCAAACATATTTGGACGAGAAAGTTGGTAAAAACATTGTGTTTTGCAGTGTGACTACTCTAACTGGGCCTTGGTCATGTCCTCGATGTGATGCTGGTTTCCCTTCATAAACATCAGACTCTCAAAGTTAATATCCGACAAACTTGCCCTCAGAACGTCGTTGCCTTGACAGAACAGGCGCCCGACGGCAGCGCTGGACGGGACGGGCGTGTTATATTTGGTGAACAAGTCGATCAAAACCTGCTCGCCCAGAAAGGCCCGATCCGTCATGGCGTCCTTGGATCCGGCCTCCAGCCAGGTCTTCACCAGG